GCAGCAGTGCTAACATTTGTTTTGATCTTGATTCTTTTTACTCTTCTTCTGCATATGCACCCTTGAATTTTATTTATTTTTTTTTTTGTAACTAGCTCTACATAAATTTATGAGGTCAGCCATTCCAGATCTTGTTTCTCATACTTGCCATAAAATCATAACTATTATTTGCAGGAAGTTCCTTAAATTTTAAAGTTTAAAACCGTTGTTTCTAAATTTATCACATTGCTTCACACAGATGCTGGTTTGAAATGCTTCCGACTGAACTAAACATAAAGAGTTGAATCTGAAGTGGACTGCCAGCCTAAAACCTTCAGACCAGATCCGACCCAAAATCAGTGAGTCCGTTCATCATCTGATGTCCTCCAGCTAATTTGCCAGTTAGCGGCCAGCTGGGAGCCGGGTTCAGGGATAAACATATACGACCTTCCATTTGACACAGGCTCGACACAGCGGGGAAATCCATCTCTCCTCATCACATCACAGCTACTGCCTCCTTTTAGTTGTACACAACTCTCACCCTAATGATCCTGATTAGCTGACATGCTTGGCACTGGGGCCGTCATGCTGAAAGCCTCGGCTATCCGTTTTCTCTCCACTTTTCTCCCGGAGCCACAGGTGGCTGCTCCAATAACAGCCCGCCTCTAACCCAGATAGAGGAGAGGCCAGAAATGAGATCAAAACCAGAAAGCTTCTCTCTCCCAGTGCAATCAGACAATAGGACGAGCTAAATCTGGGAGTGGGCCTTTGCCACGTCTTATTCTCACCGGTTTTTCTTTTTATTTTAGTACCCAATTATCCCCACGCCTCGTGAGATGCGATCCATGATGGCCTCATGTCCCAGGAGGGCGGGAAGAAGTAGGTCTCATTATGACGCCGTCAGGAGGCCGGGGGGGGGGGGGGGGGGGGGGGGGGGGCTTTATCATCTGGGTTTTGGGTTTAGATGAAGTCAAAGGTGAATGAGGTGGCCAGTGAAGTCAAACATTCAGATGATGCAGGGCATCAAAGCTGGATAGTTTAAAGCCGGGGTAAAGTTAAAAAACCTTTTAGGTCACTTAAAAATCCCTAAAGCTACACTTTGAAAACAAGCTAGCTTAAAGGGACTATAAGGAAGTTTGACAGCCAAAACATGTATAGAAATAATAAATGTCTTCTTCATACATTCTCCTGCAATGCCCTGGTCGTGTACAATGAGCCCTGGCATTTTTACTGTGATTGCCTGTTTTTCTGTAAAATCACAGAAAAAGAGAGCTGCTCGGGTTGAGCAGGCTGCTTCATGCGCGTTCACGCTCAGGCACATAGCCCGTAGCATTTGCTCTCAGTAGCTTTAGCAGCAGAGAGAGAGGTAGTGCCTTCTCAGCGACTTTATCGCTGTTCCTAACGCCTAGTGATGAACCTAGCTACATTTCTGAGGACCCTTAGCTACTTTCTGTACAACTTTCTTCTAGATATTTCCTGCAAATTAGCAACAAAATAGCCATTTTTGCTTCGAACCGTTCTTTGGTTTGACGTTGTTTCAGCTGTCATCAAGGATATAAAAGTTATAGATACTGTAAATGTTACTAGAGTGTAGCTCACCTTGTAAGATGTCTGACTCTCATGCAGAAGACCTGGGTTTGATTCTGGATGTGAACATAGTCATTTATAGTTTCTTTTTTACATTAATGATATATTTCTTTACAGTAAGATGCCCAAATTTTTATTTGAGACTCGCCGAACAGCATTGAATTCACAGATATAAAAGATGTGGGTTCAACTTTCATTTTGGAACAATTTTTCAAGCAAGAGAAGGGAATGATCTGAGCATGCAAGATTGACCCATCTTAAACCTTTGTCGGCTGTGCTGAAGAGAAAGGTACAGAACCAAATTATTTAATTAATTAGCTGCGCGTTCTCCTTTCCTCTGTCCTCCCACCCACACACACACACAAGGGACTGTCTCAGCTGTTATTTTCCTTAAGGAGTGTGCACGTAAAGCATGCGCGCCTCGTGCACGAGCCTCCTATTGAAGCTGCCATTACGCTTTTGGCTTGAGGGGGCAATCGCGAGTATAAAAATTAAAAAGTCCGTAAAGTCCCTTTAAAAATGTTTTCCTCTTAACAATGTTCTAACATAATAAATTTAAAAAGAAAGTAAAAAATGTAATAAAGTGGTTGTCCCACATTTGTCTGAAAAGTCTCAGCCATGAACACGGCTCGGACCGACAGCAGCGATTGGACCATCCAGTTGTTGGTCTCTATGTACAGTCTATGGTCTCAACAAACTACCACACTTCCCTGGGTCCTCCATTCATCACGCACTGGCGTACTTACGGAACACCACTGGTGCGGAAGTTCTCTGCTCAATAATATCAGAGAAGGAGCAACAGCCACTACTTCTACTTTAGGACAAAGTCCCAAAAGAAAACACCATTTGAAGTCGCAGACAAAAAAAATGTTTGGACCTAGAAGCAGCGACTGGTGGTGTGTAAATTAGCGCTATCTTGTTTCCTTTGCCAGTGCAGGTTTCCAGTTGCAGCGGACACGACCCAGATAAAATACCCAATGGAAGGAGAGTTCCAAGACCTTTTTTGCGTTTAAAAGCTAGCTTGTTGTGTAAAATTGACTGTGTGGCTCTGTTCTATAAAATATGTAATATTTCTGAATATAAATTTCCCCAAAGCCCCTTCCCCGGTCTCTGCAGCAGAACAAACCCTTTCATGAGCCATTGACCGATACAACTGCATATCCACGAGAGAATGCGCTCCAGTTCCATGCATGCACTGCAGGGTGATGCAGACACCTGTCAGCTTTGCACAAAAACCTAGCTTGAATGCTAACTCGACATGCATTGAACTAATGTCAGTCAGTAAACATCAAGCTAACTGTGGAAGAGGAGGGAAGGAAAGGAAAAGGGATTTCTCTTTAGTGCATTGGAGTTAAGTGGTTAGCATAGCGCTCAACCTCATGCTACATTAGGGCTGAGCGACATGGCCTAAAATCAACATCACAATGTATTTCACCAATGGAGTTCAACTTGATAAAGATAAATGGGCGATAACTACATGTATGTACACAGACATAGATGGGGCTGTCACATGTATTACTGAGTTAAGATGTCACGTGACTCGAGGTGGAACAGCTTCTTAAAAGCGACATGAAGGTCCTCAAACTACACACATATTTCATGCTTTTTATTATCAAATGTTTTTAACATGGGCAAAATGATATTGGATAAAGTCAGAAATTTCTATTTATTGCCCAGCCCTACGCTACATATTGTTTTAGCCTATAACGTTAGCAGGGGTAGGCCAAAATCTTGTTGGTTTTAGATGTTTCCCTGCTTGACCACTGCAGATTTTATTAAAGGCGTTGAACACTTTTAATCAATATGTTTGCAGTGGTCTCTAGTAGGAATGAATGCCTTGTTGGTTGAGGGGAAAAAAATACACTGGTGCACCATTTCTAGGAACTAGAAAGGATGCACATCACAGATGAGCTTCAGAGGTTTTGGAGTCTTATTTCCTGATATTTGGACATCTTGCCATGGATTGGATAAGAGCAACACAACTCTACCGCTGACTTGCAATGTGGTTGTTTATTCTTTCCACAAATAACACAAGCCTGGAGGAGCCATGCCATGTGGTGACGTTGCTAATGGTTACCTCATCGACATATAGGGTTACCTTCTGCTAGTCGAGATGTTTTCTTTGGTTTCCTGGAGGCTAAAACAACAACAGCATTCCCTGTCGTAAGTCAAGATGGGTGAGTCCATGAATGTTAAGTGACAGTGTGACGTAGATCTGTCAGGACTTTCAAATCCTAGAGTTTCACCGCCTATTTTCTATCAGAAGCTAATGCAGGAAATAGGTGTAGGAGACTATTTTCATGTTCAGCCTGCATGGAAAACTCAGTGACCGAATAATCAATAATCAATCATCAGGAATCATCATTAAAAAGAAGTAAGTTCCCTTTTCAGAAAGGGAGGGGGAGCAGGGGCGGGCAATAATACCATTCTAATTTCAAAATCATCTCCTCCTCCTCTTGATGATGTCACGCAACAGACCCCAGCTTTTAAAAACGATCACTTTTCCACACGTTATACTTAAACTGGATCAAAAATGTTGGAAAGGGGAAAAACAAATCATTCCAGAATTGCAATTGATGGCCGCACAAAATCACTCAGCATTTGGACATGCCTGCTTTAGATTTTAGTTTAACAAAATCTTGTAGTTCGAGAACAGAAGTCTAAACACCAGCGTGTTTATCTTTTAGCGCTGTAAGAAGATATGTTGATTTTCTGTCAGAATCACAGTAAACTGGTGCTGGACTGAATACAGATCTGGTGACTGTGGAGGTTGTTGGGAGTCCTCTGGACATGATGCATTATCCTGTTGGAAGTAACCAACAGAAGGCAAATCCAGATCCATCTTGAGTTGCTGCCGTGTGATTGGCTCATTAGGGTTTAGCACGTACTTGAATGCCTACGCCTAATAAACTGGCTGGGAAAAACCTGAAACACAACATGAAATGAACACATCAGATGCGTGTGGATGCGGGCATCACCTCGGCTAAATCAGACGCCAAGAACGAATTGGAAGAAGCAGGAACCGAGAGGAGGAGTGAGGAAGAGGAGGAGAGCTGAGTCACTGTGATGTGGGGGCTTCAGTGACACAGAGGGCCACTGAATCATCTGGAGCCTTATTGAGCGTTTTCTCCATTTGAGGTCATTATCGCCCCGGCGGATCGTCACTCTCATCATCGGGAGAGTCGGTATTACAGGCAAGGGAGTGATAAGAGGAGCCTGGTGGGGGGAGGGGCTTACATCTGACTGTACCAAAGCATAAAACCTGGGAAAATGTCTTATTGCAGAAGAAACTCCCTGAAATGAAAGAGCACAGTCATCGTCACGCTGAAGTCATTTTAGGTTTTATTAGAAACGCTTCATTTTACAACCCGAGTGTCTAGGTGTTGCCTCTGAGAGCCGTGTATAAAAAAATCAGATTCAAAGTGTCCAACTGATCGTGCTTGATAAAGTTCTTTATTCATTTAAGGGGTTGATATCAAAGTCTTTAACCTGTGCAACTGATATTCACAGATATTTACATTCAAATTAGGCCGCCTTGAATCAAGCATCACTGCAAAATAAGCAAAAGAACGTAAAAAGTTACAAAAGACATTAAACGATAAATTTCTCTTTTAAAATAGAACATGAGATAAATCACCATTGCTTCGGTTTAAACTATAGGCACGTCGTAGATATGTGAGGCGTCATGGAAGCCAAGTGGAGGCCATGCATTTCTTCTTCTCTGCAGCCGATGTCTGTAAACAAAAACCACGAGCTGTCCTGCACGGGGGCGGGGGTGCTTTAAAATTGATTTTTTTACCTAAACATGGGAAAGAAACTTTTTCTCATCTGTCGAGATGTTTTATGGCTCACAAAGGTTGGTTTCTTTGGTATAAAACTATCTGGTGACTAAAAAAAACTAAAAACCTTTTTGGGGAGTAAAAGGTGGATGAAAGGTTGTGCGGCGTTCCTCTGGATGCCGTTCACATCCGCGTTCGTTGGGTTCGAGGGAGCAGAATGTTTTGACTCTGACCAGCTGCTATGAAAACAAACCAGGACCAGGAGATCAATTTTAATATTAAACTAAGAAATGTGCGGATAAGAGAAAGGGACTTTAAGACGTTCAGTATTTGTCTGGAGTTATTTTCTTTTCCGTGACGTGAGGTCATGCTGAGCCTCTTCCTGTTTGTCTGGTAAACAGGGTGGACAGAAGATGGATGAGAAGAGAGGAGGAGTGGAGCGGGTTTTTGGGTTGTATCGTTCACTCGGCGGTGACTAATGACACGCCTACGTCCTGGACAGTATTCTTAGGATGCTCTACGTGTCTGCTGAGACTCGACTGTTGCAAAGGCGACCCGTTTTCACCCAGATGAACCGGGTACTCCAGAGCGACTGCTGTTCAGGAAAAGCACAGGAACATTAAAAACAAAAAAAGGGGGGACAGATTTTCCTTGAAGGTTGCTAGTTTTGGCACGCGTCATGTCCCTTTAGCCTTCAGCCCGGCGTCTTTAAGTTAAAAAAAAAAAAAAAAACTTCAACCCAACAACCGCCCTTATTTCTGTGAAAGCACATGCTGATAAACTGGATTCACCTAAGGCAACGAGGGATGGTGTAGAAGTGTGGAAAGTGCTCCGAGTGTGCTCCCCCACCTCCTCCACAGCGGATGTCCACGGTGCTGAGGAGTTTGGGGGGGGGGGGGGGGGGGGGTATCGCCGACTAAACCAGGCGGCTGCGTCAGGTCGTCCCCCTCCTCCAGAACGCCTCCCTCTGAGGGGGTGGGCTCTCTCATGAGGACATGTTTAGTGGCTTGGTGGATTTATTTGGATAACTAATAGCCAAGCTGATTGCAGCGATGTTCTTCAGAGCCTGGACAATTAAAGAGAAGAAAAGAACACACAAACGTCTATTAGTGAAAACGGTTCAGGGGCAGCAGAGCAGGAGGGGAGAATTGAGCAGAGTGGAACAGGAAATGAGGCGTGAGGAACCTTGTTGTTCTCCCACACGCTGAATTCAGGGATGATAAACAAGCTCAGAGTGACTAAAGTCTTTAGAAACAGCTGATTTTCTTCTTAGTCATTTATTAACTTTATAGAAGTAAAATAATCCAGATAAAGACATTTTTCAGCCATTTTTAAGTGATTCAGAACAGACTCGGTTTGGGAAAATCAACTTTAAGCCCTACGGGACCGATGAGCTAACGACTAGTCCAGCTGCCTTCTCAATAACCTCATTCGCTCATTTTGTTGAATAAATCTGCTGTGGTCTCTGGCATGAATGACTGCCTTGTGTGTCGTTTTCTGTGGAAAAATCTGGCGCTTCTGTTTCAGGAAGTAGAAGTTAGTCGGAGCGGTGGAGGATGGAAAACGGCAGGATTAGGTGGTTCTTTTAATTTTATGATGTCCAAAATTCTTGCTTCTGATTGGCTAACAGCAACTTGACTCTTACTGGGTGAAAAATTGCAACGTCGATGTTTTATCTGAACAAGTAACACAGCTTGAACTAAGTAATAATCAATTTGATGACATCATCTGAAGCAGAAATCCAACTCACTAGAAATAACTAGGGATGAGCGAGTACACCACTATCTGTATCTGTATCTGTACTTGGAATGGGCGTGACATAACCCGGAAGTGGGCGTGGTTTAACCGGAAGTGGGTGTGGTTTACATCAATATATTATTTTCAGTCTGAAATTGATATGGATTGATCAGAAGTTGATATGTGTATTGTTTATTTGAAAACTATTTACAGAGCAGCCTTAGAATTTAGATTTAATTTTTTTGATCACAATAGTGAAGAAACTATTTCAGAACAAGTGTTTCAATAAAATCAGAACATTAATATTTAAGTGCATGGATTAATGCATCTGAACTCATGCAGTAGGAACTAGGAAATATGAAATGCTAGAACCAGACACAACTTTATGTATCTTTTTATTTTAATTTGATTAAACTGATTTTTTTCTTAACGTTCTTGGCATTTTGCCCCACACAAAGTTAAACAAAACAATGTTGATTAAGGTGTGTGTGTGTCTGAGAGAGATAGAGAGGGAGTTAAAAAAAAAAAAAAAAAACCCGAACGGAGCGGAGGTAGTGAGTGACTGACGCAGCACGTCAGCTCTGTCTTGTCAAATGCACCATGTCAGTTACGAAAAAAGTTACTTTAAATATTCAACCGAAAAAGAGGCGAGCTGAAGAAAACCTAGGGAAAACTGAAGAAACGTGAGCAACAGTGAAGCAATCACAGCGAGATCCGTTACTGTCTGTGTGTGTGTGTGTATGAGCCGGACGGACTGCGCTCCCGGCTGGCTAGAGAGTTTTGTGCGTAGGGAGGGGCAGGCGCTCTATGTGACTGGCCAATCACAGAGCGTGAAGACAGTCAGTTACCCAATGACGATTTTCCTTCAGCACGATTACAGATATTTACCAGGTTTACTCGTTTCATGCTCGTATTCGTCAAAAATGCTTTATCCATACCGGATACTCGTCTGAAACGAGTATCTGGCTCATCCCTAGAAATAACTGTAATTAAATTGGTGTAAAACTTTATGTTATTGTTGCATAAATATCTGGGATACTGTGTATTTTGGAGCCATTTTAAAACAGCAGCTAAGCACTTTGGCTGACCTAGCCGTTAGCTCATCAGTCTTAGAAGACAAACTTTATTGACGTGTAGGAGTTTTTTTACAGCAGGAAAGACGGGAACTGTTTATAACTTTTACAGATACATTTTTCAAAATGGCTGAAAAACGTGTTTACCTGAAAGCCCCACAGCTAATCCGACCCAATTAGTCATAAACTGAACTTTATATCTTTCTGTTGCTCAATTTTCAATGTTTTTAAAACTTTGAAGCCCCTTGAATGTTTCTCTTTTTAATTCCATGTTGAAATTTTCCAAAACAAGGACACAGCGAGGCCGACAGACGTGGAAGTGCTTCAAGACTTTTGTACCATCACAACAATGTTGTGTACAGCTTGCCAAGTTACCCACGGTTTTGTTTTCAACCTGACAGGTATTAGGTAACAAGCTCAACAGAACCACCCACAACATTGTGTTCACCCCCCCCCCCCCCCCCCCACCACCACCACCACACACATACACCCGAGTGCTCCTCTGAACCACCTTCAGGCTCCGCCGCTGCATTACAAGGCCCTCGGTACGGAGGACGCCGTGGCTCGCTCTGCTGCAAATGCTAATGGACCATAATTATCTAACACATTAGCCATGAGCACGGCCCACACGCTTTAAAAACAGGGGGGGGGGGGGGGTGCCGAGGGATCCGCTAGGTCTCAGCAGCTCCGCGAGAGATTCCCGCCGCGAGCTGGCTCACAGCCACTCAAGAACGTTCTGTGAGGGGGACTGCGTGGTTAAGAGAGTTACATAAGACTTCAGAGAGCACGGGCAGCTGCTTTCAGATTCCTTCATCCACACAAAGCGCCACTCGACAGCTGAAAACATTGCAGACGGTCTTACCATCGCTGTGTGGCCGAGGAGCTGCTCATGGGTGGTCATGGCCAGCAGGTACTCCTGCAGGATTCCCTGTGTCTGTGGAACAAATCAGACGATCAGTAACATCCTCTCAGATTCCTGACTCCCACAGAAGATGGGAAGCATCGTGGTTTGCGATGCAATCGGCTAGAAATGTGCCCCCCGATCCTCCTCCATCTGCATCTCAGCATCAAACTCAACTGTGGAATGTTGGACAAGTTGTTCAGAACCAAAAACAAGCTCAAGAGTTTCCACCAAAAAAGCATTAAAGGGAGAAAAGGCTCCTCGTCTTACGTAAACGCAGATAAGGATCCACGCCGAGGGCGACTTAGACAGAGTCCAGAGTCCTGCTTCACCATTCATCTCACTGCAGTCCCAGATGTTTATACTGGAGGAAACATCTGAGCACTGAGCACGCATCAGCACTGTGTGACATAGTGCGTTTTGATTTCTAAATATAACGTTCACTTCCTAGAGGGTTAGAAGTTCGCTCAGTCTCAGCAGGGGGTCTTGGATCGATGAAAGAGAGACGTCCAAAACGATTCCCGTTCTAAGAAACAGGATTTCTGCAGGATCAGTCCTGATATGGTCTCAAGACACTGTACAGTTCACACAAGATGCTAACAGATGCTACACGCGTTGAACTCTGGTAATTGCCGAACGAACGGCGTTTTAAAAATGTGGCTTTTTGGAGGGAAGTAACTATTTGTGTGTGTTTATCAGTTAAATATCTCATGATCCACTAGACTGCATGGACGATGGTGGTAAAGTCCTTAAAAGTCAGGGTTAAATACGTTAAATGACCTCATGTCCTGCACAAGCCTGATAATCGCCCATAGTTTTAAATCAGGCGCGTTGGAGAAACATCTGAGGATCGCGGCGCAGCGCTGAGGGCTAGGTTACGACATGAGGAGTGATAAACCTTCAGTTGACAAGATTATAAAACTGTGTTCCCTCCTCACACACACACACACACACACACACACACACACACACACACACACACACACACACACACACACACACACACACACACACACACACGGTGTAGCGACATCTCTGCACATCTTTGAGTCTTCAGGATGAAACAGAGATTCTGCAGATACAGGACTGCATGACTCAATGACGGGCATCCCGTGTGATGCAGCAGAGTACTGCTACTGCCCCCTGCTGTCCACCGACACGTACTGCTCCACATCAGCTTCTCCTCCCAGCTTTCCAACACCCGGCAGCTGCAGCTGGATGAGTGATTTTTTTTTTGTTCGGTTGGGGAAAGTCCTGGCCGACAAAGCCTCCGATCCCTCAGACGTGGTTTAATAATTCAAGGTGAAAGAACAAAAGAGAATCTAGAGAACATCTCTTCCTGTCTCAAGCAGCAAGCTGCCTAGCAGATGGTCCAGCCGGGCTCTGGATCTGAGCCAGACCAGAACAGGTGGGCAGAGGGACAAATGCGCTGATTTTACAGATAAAAACAGAAGGGGAAAATATGGAGGTAGAGACGAATATGCTGTTTTTACAACGATAGAAAACATTCTGTCCCAGAAGAAAATAAAAATGGGACTTTCCTGGACAAATAAACCTTTTTCTAGGCTACATTGAGTTGACTCTTCTCTAAATTTAACCTGTGATGTAAATAAAGCTCCTAGACACACCTCCAATCTGGTGCACACTCAGAGATAATACACAAACTGCAACTTCTGTCATCAGGAATAAAATCCCAATCAGATGATTTCATTCTTACACATTTACACTCACAATGGCACGAGCCTCGGCAGTGAAGAAGAGCTCAGTGAGAGCTCTGTGCAGAGGCAGCAGCACAGTGACGCTGGTGGGATCCTGACTCAGGTTGTTTTCCATCGACATAAAAAGCTGCCACAGAGGTCGCAGCAGCAGCAGCTCACAGGCTCTGAAAACGCAGACAAACAGAACAGTCAGATAAATAAACACAAACGGTGATCTTTCAACATTTCTAGACGTTATGGATGAATATAACGGCCTTAAAGGGGAACTAGGCAGTTTTTGCTTGCTTTTAGCACCCCCTAGTGCTCGTTTTGTAGAACCAAAAGCAAAACCTTTATCCTCGCTGAGCATTTTGTCTTTTTAACACCTTAATCTAACAGCTGAAATGTCTCCCCAGCCTTCATAAGCATCTACAGGAGTGATTCATCACTAAATCAAACAAACTGGCTGTGTTCATGATCTAAAAAATGCAGGAACCATGCTAGAAGCAGACTGCAGCGCCACGTATGTCAGCTCCATTTTTGTTTCTAAGTCAAACAGACCGGACCAGCACTCTGAAGTTGCAAATGCAGTATTCTGGCCACAGAGGGCGGTAGGGGGTCTGAGTGACTTTTTTTTAATTTAATAATACATTTTATAAAAATAATAAAATACTTAATTTATAAAGCACTTTATATTTCACAATCTCAAAGTTTAACCCTGTAAAGGGTCATTTTAGCACATACTAGCTCAAGAAATTAAAATATGAATAAGTTGCCTAGTATCCCTTAAACAGCTTAATACAACAAAAAAATCCAACTTCCACGGCAACACTTTAAATAAGAAAGAGACTTACACACATTTTTGATTCAAAAGAAACATTAATTTCTGTCCCGATGACTGGATGGGGGCCGGGGTCGGTCTGCACCGATGCAAATTCCTAAACACACACTTTACCTAATCTCCGAGGTGTCAGCCATGACATTTACGAAGAGTTTTATGCAAAACCTGCATGCAGATGCAATGCAGCAACCTCAGGATTAAAATTACACACCGAAGGTTTTTATCAAACTTTTTCCCGATGGATGAGACACAGAAATGATTTATAAATGACTTTGGGTTTACGTTTTTGGATCTTTTGATTTAAAGAGCGATGCTCTAGAATAGAAGAGTTTTAAAAAACAAGTTAAAAGTCCTCGACTTAAAAAAAAATGCTAAACTTGATATAGGAGGATTCTTTTCATCCGTATTCCTCAAAATAGGCAAATATATAAAAATCTTAACATAAAAATGTTAGAAAGTGTAGATGAGCTGGAGGGATGCACATGGAGGGCCACAAATGGGCCCCGGGCCGTTATTTAGACAAGCCTGCTCTACGCGAGTCTGGACTTACGTCTGGGACGGACACTGCAGCAGACGCAGCAGCAGGTGAATGGCTTTAAGTCGCTGGTTTCCAGTCTGACGACAGGCCACGCCCACTTGCCACTCCCAGATATCAGCCAGTGGCAGATGACCGAGCACGTGATCGTCAGCTAACATTTGTTTGAGGATCTCAAAACCTGATGAGAAACCAGAAAAGAGCTCAGATGAATTCGTTAGAGGTAAGACGACGTGTTTGTGTTCCTCACCGGTCTGAAAACGACCCCGATGGCCTCCCGTAACGGTGAACTTGTAGCCCCACTCCGTGTTGCTCATATCAGACATGAACCTGTAGTAGAGAGTGTCACCTGGGAGAAACCAGGACGACATCAGTTAAAATTAAATGTAATAGTAAAAACCGTCCCAAACGCTTAAAAAGAACCACTCGTCTCACCGGGGACTTCGAAGTCGGACCATTTCTGAGGAGATCCGCTGAAGTTGTGAACATCCTGGAGGAAATCGCTGCTGCTGGACACGATGAGCTCATCGCAGCCTTCCTCCGTGTGGCAGCGAGAGTCGAATTTTACAGACAGGTAGATGGCCCCGGGGACGTGCACTTTGTCCTGAGAAGAGACAGAACCCACCAGGAAAAAGATCTCAGAGTCAATCAGAAAGAAAAAGAAAAGTTTCTCGATTTTCCTCAAAAAATCATGAAAAACATTCTGATCCAAGGTGAATATAACTGATATGAGTGTTTTGTTTGATTCTAAATCCTTCATTAGCTGCACTATTTGCAGACGTACCTCAAAGTTGGTGTTGTTGTCATATGGATGCTTGGACTCCCGGACCTGCACGGCCATCCCGGGCTCCTCCATGAACTGACACGCCGTGAGAGACAGACTGCTGAGCATGCTCTGGCTGCAGCCCTTCAGCACCCTCTGGAGAATCTGACCAGGAGCAGAAAATCAGCACATTAACATTTAGAGCGAACATCCTCTCACCCAGAGTGCTTTGAACCTTCCCTTCTCCTCACCTTCTCCCAGAGCGGCCGCTCCTCCAGCTGCATCAGCATATCCAGGATGTAAGCCATGTGCGACGACCCGTTCAGTTCCAGAGCCTCCTCGCTCAGCAGCGCCTCCGCAGGCCAGTCGGCCAGCAGCAGCGCCAGCACGTGGCGGGCGTACAGCGTGGCGATGGCCTGGTTGACCTTGACCAGGTACTGCCGAACTGCCCGGTTGCTGCGGACGTCCAGCTCTTTGTGCAGCAGAGCCGAGCTTTTGGAGCGTCTCTGCTTCGCGTAGCTCAGCTGCAGGTCGCTCTCTGAATTGGTGATGAGCTTCTGAGCCACCACGTTGATTTCCTCTGTAGCCTTTTCACAGTGGCTGGGTTTAGACTGCTTGATGAAGGCAGCGAGGACACACACAAACGGTCAAACATCAACACTGTGTCGCCTAACGATGTGGAGGTCAGCAGGTAAACCGTCTCACCATGCAGGTCACCACGATCATGTCGGTGTCCACGGCTTTGCAGTTCCTCTCCTCAGAACGAGGCCGCCTGGAGGGCTGCCACTTCTGAGCCAGCGTTCGGATCGTCTCATCCGTTTTTATTTCCTCTCCATCGAATCTGAAAACAAAAGGAGGCAGTTTACGAAGGACGGTGAAATGTGACCTTTTACTTCAGAGAACCTCATGAAGACAGTAAATGTTCTAGATGCTGACCTCTTCTGCACCTCGAGGAAGAAGGAGTCCGTCCTCTTCATCTGCAGCTCGTACATGGCTCGCAGGATCGGCAGCGGAGCGTTTAAGGCATCATGGGTGATCTGAATCATAATAAAAAAAATAATAATATCGTGTTCCATTTCATTTTGCTGCCTTTATTCTGACAGGTTCCTCTCGCCACCTGGAAGCAAATCTTTGTCTCCTCGTCGAGACCTTCTAGTGGGTCGGGTCTGTTGACGTCGGCGTCGTCGGCTCCAGAGCTGGAGTGGTCCGAGTCGTGCTCCTTCTCCTGCTCCCTCTGGTCCCGCTCGGAATCCTGAGCCATGGAATGAATCTCCCTCTTGGAGGAGTAGAGCATGATGGAGAGGATCTCCAGGTCTCGCAGCAGCCACAGCTTGCTGAAGCCAGTTCCTTTGCTGCACTTCCTCACCAGCAGCTGGGTCAGCCCCGACTGCCGAATGGCCTCCTGGGAGCTCTCCACGCCGTGCTTCTACCAAACAGAACACGCAGTGAGATGGGAAAACCGAGGCAACCTTGTTTTCTTTTTTTTAGTTAGAGCAGAGACCTTGAGTGTATTGTAGAGGCCTTTAAGAGCCAAAGACAGGACCCAGGAAGCCTCCACGGCATCAGAAGACCCATTCTCCTGGCTGGTTTGTAGGAGGTGGCTGATCACGGAGGTGAAGTTGCTCAGGTAGCGACTCAGAAGTGTGTTTTGGAGGCCTTGGTTCTCTGATTGTGCAGAAGAAGCAGCTGTGGAGGAATCCTGAGACTGGATGAGCTGGTAGTCCTTCACTGTGAAGGAAAACACGATGGGATTACAGCTGTTTTGGTCAAAAACTTTAATTCTGTTTGACCTCAGCGTTTACGTCGTGAACGGTCTCACAACACCTGTAAATCTGAGTTGTAGCTGTTTTACCGTCCGATATTACGCGGGTCGTTCCTGCAGCGCTAACCTGTTTTCCTTTTGCGCGTCTTGACGTCCACCACCGCCGCGTGATTCTTCTCTGTGAAGTGCTTGAGCAGGATCATGTTGTGCTGCTCGTTGGCGTTGTCGATAAACACCGTGTGAGTGCCCACGCACAGCACCTGAAACACACGGAGGAGTCACGACAAGAGTCATGAGCTTGTTGAGACTCGCGGTGGTGGTGGGGGGGAGGAGGGATGCTGCGTACCTCGGGGAAGCCCACCAGCACCAGCAGAGTGAAGAGGTTAATCCGTTTCAGACTGTGTGGAAGCTGCTGAGCGCAGTGGTCAGTGAAGGCAGCGATGACCGTGCTCCACTCAGGACAAGCGTTCAGGCTGTGAAGGATGTCCGCCACCGTGCACGCCCAGTCCAGACCAATACGACTACAGAACGAGACAAAAAAACTGTATTTTAACAATAAAAAAATAATATTCAAGCGACTGTTTCTAGTTTCGTGTACCTGTCTAAACAGGCAGCCCCGAGGCAGAAGAGCAGCTGGGTGGTCTTCCAGCCCTGCGTGTCTGAACACGCCACCTCCCCTTGAGTCAGCAGGTCGTACTTGTCAGCCAGAGCCTCGGTGACGGCGGCGTCCGCTTCTGTCGGAGTGATCCGCAGCAGCAGCTGACCAAGGAGTCCCAGCGTGAGGTGGAAGGTCTTGTTCAGAGAGCCGGCGTTGGAAATAACTGCCCTGAAAAGGTGTGGCAGGATGGAGCTCAGACTGGGTAGAGACATGGTTCTGCACTGAGGAAAGGAGAGAGGAGACATCAGTGATTAGGAACCTGTGGATGTAGGGACAGGAGCGGTGGACAACAGCTTTCTGCTCCACTTACTGGTTTAGCTGGTGGGAGCATTGCTGCTAGAAGTCCCAGGATCCTCTCCCTGGAACACTCGGAAAACACGTAGTCCTGGAGGGGAACCTGGGGCAGTCTCTCATCTGTCTCCTTAGAAACGTCAGATGCTGAAGAATTCAGTGCTTCTGGTCCAGACTCTGAGGCTAAAATAAATATAATATAATATAATATAATATAATGTAATATAATAACATAATATAATATAATATAATACAATAACATAATATAATATAATAATATAATGAAATAAGAGAAATAAACAAAGCAAAAAGGAAACAAACAAAAAACAAAACAAATGAAAAAATTGCAAAACTAAGAAAAACAAATAAGGAAATAATGAGAAGGAAAGAAGAGAGAAAGGAGCACCTACTTCTCACCACAGGAGACAGTGGGTCTTCGCTGGACACAGAGGGCGTCTGGCTCAGACTAGCGGAGTCCAGAGTGTCTTGAGCAACCAGCTTCTCCTTGTCTCCGTCCCCAGAGCTTGGTGGAAAGGACAACTCTGCTCTTTTGTCCTTTCCTGCTGGTTTACTCTGTGGAGGACGTTACCAGCAGTTAAAATCCTTCAGACTGCATTCTGACTTCTCATGACATCATCACGGTTGCTGACCTTGTCCCTGGGGGACGACGGTGAGCAGATCGCTGCGGTGCTGCCAGGCAGCGAGGACGTGTCGGTGGCTGTGCTCAGCTCCTGGGACGTCTCCGGAGATGCTGGACACATTTCACTCTCAGACACCGACTCGTTGGAGGACAGCAGCGCGATCAAGGTGGAAGAGCGGAGACCTACAGACAGGACAAGGTGTTTGTTTAAAGCATGGTAGCTTCCAACGCTCATCCAAATGACTGCTCACCTGCCTCAGGCACAACCCATAATGTCTCCTTTCACCCCAGTTGGGACTCACCTTTGCCAGTTTGTTTCTTGAGCAGACAGTCAGTGATGAGACGGGAGCAGCGCGTCTGCAGAGCCGAGGCCTGCTCCAGAGTCCTGCTGTCCAGGTCGTCTCTGTCCGTCTGCTTCTCGCTGCACAGCTCAGACGTGTACAGCGCCAGAGCGGCAAACAGCAGCCAGGAGTAGTTGTGGATGTAGGGCTGGATCAGGCGGTGGCGGTCGCTGATTCGGATGGTCACCATGGGAAACACTGTGATCCGGTGGGTGGGCAAGTGACTAAAGAGGGGAAAAAGTACTAAAGCATCAATGAACCCCACGTTTAACCAGGAATGATGCTCGTCTCTAAACGCTCACCTGTCGGGATATTTCTTTGCGTCATAGCAACCGTAGCACAGGTCAAAATCCTCACACACGTTACAGTTAATCCTGCTGCCTACGATCAGTCCCTGGCAGTGATCGCAGGCGTACTCCATGTTCACCATCTCATGATCATCCTCGTGGCCCTCGGGCTTAGCGCCACCTGGTACCAAAACACAAATACGCAGTTAGTCTGACCGCCTCTCCGGCGCAGCGGCTTACGTCCCGGCGTGTCGGAGCTCACTGAGGAAGCAGGTCTTGCAGAGGTCCATATCCAAGCACTGCAGACACCTGTAGCGATGCCACGGTGCCATCCTCTCACACCCGTCGCAGGAGATCACCACATTGAGCAGGTCGCAGTAGCGGGCAATGAACATGTGCATCTGTGGCGAGGATAGACTGCAGTTACAACTCTTCAAATAGAAAATTGGGTCAAAAAAAACAATATGCGTGTGAAAATGTACTGAAGCGATTACTAGCATTTAGTTTTCCTTTTGTTCAGCTGAGGAGTAATCTGGTCTGTCTGCAGGCGGCAGAGCAGCACTTAAGCCTGTCGGATTGATCTATAAGTACCATTTGTTTTCTTCAGACAGGAAATGGACCCTGAAATACCTTTCTCCTGTCATCCACGCACTCGTCCTCATCGATTTTGTCGTACCACTTCTCAAACATGCCGTCCATACACTCATCCATCCACTCCTGGTTCTTCTTGTAGTCTGCAATCTCATCCTCCTCCGTCCACTGACTGAAGAAGAGTTTGAACCACAGAAATAATCAATCATCTCACATTACTCCTCCTCTGATGAATGAAAATGGGACTCGTGACGCTGAAAGCAAAGACAAAAGCTTTTCTAACTGGCACCAAGATTGGAAACTGAACCTGATGGTACCTGATGGCGATGTCGTGAATGCTGATGTTCTCCTGGGACATGCCGAGCAGGAGCTCTGGAAGCTTGATGTTCAGGAAGAGAAGGAGGTCTTGAGCCTCCCAGTTGATGTCAAGGAGGTGCAGGAGGCAGGTCTGCACACAGGATAGGGCTGGGAGGAGAGCTCTGGAGGGCAGAGATCAGCTTACTGCACACACCTCTCATAACAAAAACCACTTAAGAGGAAACACAAGGAGGTAAAAGGAAATCTGCTCACTCTTCGTTTAAGCTACTGAAGCTCTGGACAGCCTCCACGAGCATGAGCAGCAGCTGATGATAGGAGCGCCTCACCTCCTCTCCCAGTTTATGCCCGCTGTCGGACAGCTGAGTAAAATAGCTGACAAAGAAAAACTCATCATTCTTCAGCTACAGTCAAATATAAAGACACATTTACATAATAATAATAATAATAATAATAATATAATAATAATAATAATAATAATAATAATAATAATATGATAATAATAATAATAATATTAATAATAAAAATGATGATAATGATGATAATAATAAAAATAATAATGATGATAATATGATAATAATAATAATATAATAATAATAATAATAAGATAATAATATTAATAATGATAATGATGACAATAATAATAATAATAATAATAATAATAATAATAATGATAATAATAATAATAATAATGATAATAGGATAATAATAATAATAATGATAATAATAATAATATAATATAATAATGATAATGATGATGATAATAATAATAATAATGATAATGATGATAATAATAATAATAAAAATAATGATGATAATGATGATGATAATAATAATAATAATAATAATATGATAATAATAATAATAATAATGATGATGATAATATGATAATAATAATAATAATAATAATAATAATAATAATAATAATAATAATAATAATAATGATAATAATAATAATAAAAATAATGATGATAATGATGATAATAATAATAATAATAATAATAATAATAATGATAGTAATATGCTCCAAACATTCACATTTCTAAATAAATCTGATCTTAAGTTGTTTGTTTTCTACCTGGTGAAGTCTTTTTGACACGCCAGCAGCTCCTGCAGGAACAGGATGCAGGGGGGCTGGAAGAGGTGCGGCTGTCCCAGGGAACGCAAACACTGCTGAATCATCTCCAGCACCTTACACACGCTCCGGGCCTGGGCTGTGCTGAGGGCCAGGGTGTGCAGAACGCTGCAGAAGCAAGAGTTGGATGGCTGAAGGCTCCGAGTTACCTAAATAATGCGTCCGAGGCTGATATGTGTTACCTCGCTGTCGTGAAAGCCTGATCCTTCATGAAGTTCAGGATGTGTTTGAGGATCGGATAGCGATCTTTGACCGATGGCGTCATGCGGGGCTCCTCAACAGAGCGGCAGGACAGGAGGCGAAGGCGTGAGCGACTCAACGGAGCCTTGTGGGAGAGGATGGAGGGTGAGGCTGGTTCTGCCGGCTGGGATGAGGCGCTCTCCTGCCGGCTGTACTCAGCTGAAGAGGGGTTTGGAACCGGAGCGTTGGGCGGCTGACTCGGTTCTGATCTGGCATCACCAGCCTCCTTGGGACATCCGGTCTGAGGAGAGGAGGAACTGGGCTGGAAGTCTCCTTCTGAGATTGAATCGGGGCGAAGGAGAGGAGCAAAGCTGCTCTCTGTCACTTTTAAGGAGTCGCTGCCATGACATGATTTTCCACAAGGAGCGAATCGAAACAGCAAGAGGCTCTTCTCAATCAACATTTCAGCTAAAAAAAAAAACAACAAATCTAATTAGTAGAAATAAGCTAAATAAAACAAGCATGTTTGGAATTGCATCATATGCAGTCCTCACCTACTGTCTCCATGGTAACCTCTTCTTGACTCTCTTCATCATCTTCCTGTACGATCATTTTTCCAACGAGATATCGCTGCTTCATCTCCAACTGATGGGGAGTAAAAGCCCAGAAGATGGATCAGAAATCAGGAGAGATTAGACAGAAACACAAACCATGTCCGCGACACTAGGGCTGCAACAAACGATTATTTGGATAATCGATGAATCGGATGGGGTCTCGACACGATTAATCGATTAATCGGATTACATGGGGAAATTTTTAAAAACTGCTAGGGAAACGTTATTTCTCTCCTTCCTTCACTTTATTTAACACAACATTATTAGAAAACAGTTCAATAGCAGAAAAACAACATGCCATCACCTAAATTGTCTTATAAGGTGTATAGACAGAGACCCTAAGCTACATCTATCTGTGACCTAAAATGCTTGGTCCAAGTTAAACAGCTTAAGGGCAATTCTCATCTGTTTTGTTTGATCTCATCTGTTGACATTTATTTTAAATGTAATTAAACATAGGCTGTGAATTAATCAAAATTGATCACCATTTCCAAAAATGACTGAAAAAATACCAAATAAAACAAAAGTAAATGGATGCCATCCTCCTTGTGATGATGCCCTGGGCAACTGCCATAAAGTCACATCAAGAAATGCTGCTGATCATTCCAATGATCCCAAATAGACTCACATTAGGCCACATGAAAGCAACTGAACCCAAAAATATATGAACCAGTATATAACTGCACTCTCACACAACACGCCTGCAGCAACAGTTAGGACTCCTCCCTCCCTTTTAAAAGCGTTTTTGCTTCTGAGGACATTGTGGTTGTAAAACCACATGCTAGTAGTCTGGCCCCGGTGTGATCAACCAGTTTCTGCGGGAATGTGACGGCGGAACCAGGGCCAGATTAACACTTTGTTGTACCGTGGGCAACAATATTCAAGGGCTCCATCATCACGACCTGAGGATCACCATAATGTGGTCACATACAGAATATTTTACTGTAATATGCAGTAAATATACTCAATACTTGAATGCCTGACAACACGTAACCCACCCAGAGTAACCTTTGACCCACCTCGTGTGGACTGACCAATGAGGAGAGGGTCTTAACTTGAGGCCCTCTCTTCATTGGTCAGTCTGCATGAGACTGACTCTCAACTGACGTTCAGTCGTAGGCAGCGAAGCGTCTCTGTGCAGCGCAAAAGCCCGGGTGGACAGTTTGTTTAATAGGGTGATCATATTTCCATTTCCAAACAAGAGGACAGGGGATCTGTGCCTATGACATCACACTATGGCAACGAAACACACAAACCATGTTGGGACCCATTTTTTGTAAGAACTAAATTAATATCAGATTCTGCCAATTAAAGGGTTCTAAAACAATTCATATGTAAATATTTTGCATATTTAATGCAAAATCTAATTTTTATGCTTTAGTGCTGCAACAAGGTTTTATTAATAATAAATTATTATACCTTTTGTTTTACTACAGCATCAGTAAGCTTCCTGTGCACAAATTATTAAGGATGCTTGTTTCAGCTGTGAGATTAGACGATAGGATCAATGATATAATAAGTTGTCCCACACTCCATGGAAACTTTCAGAGAATCCACAAATAGTGGCTTTCAAATGGTTTTGTTACTTTTTGCAAGTTTATAAAAGAAGCAGATGAGACAGCATGTCTGATAATTTAGTTTTTCATCTGATAATATTAGAACATGTCAGTAATGTCTGAGGGGCTTTTATAAACACCGTATAACTAACACTACTGGAGAGGGCATGAATTACACAGAGGCTTCTGGGGAGCCCAGTTATTGGGGGGGGGGGGGGGGGGGTCATTTTGCCTTGGCCCCCAAAATGTCTTGAAACGGCCCTGGGTGTGTGACTGAGTTTTGAAGGTGATCTGAATTGTATCAGATGTATAATTATTACATGTGTATAACTTATTGTTTTTTACTGGTAAAAACATGTAGTGGAGATAAATCTGCCTACATTTTACTTTTCAACACTTTGTTTTGTTTTCTTGTTTTTATTGAACTATTTCCTGTCCTGTCTGTCTCTCATCTTCCTGCATCTCCTCTTAATTCTCCAGAAAATCTGTTGCCTGGATTCTTACCTTTTCACCTCATCAGTTACTTTTGAGCAGATCAAAGGGATCTCCTGACCGAAAAGCGCAGAGCGCGTTTTCGATGCTGCGTAAGGTGACATCACCACAGCACAGGTGATGAGCTCCGCAGTACAGCGCTTCAGGCACAAATAAGACAGAAAATAGAGAACATGTGCGGACATGAACGATCGTGTGCTAATTATAGTTTTTTGGTTGCGCCACTTTGAGAATGGACCGTGCGCTGGAAGCAGCTGCCTGGATCGCTGTGCAACAATGCGGAACCGGTTCGCAGCAGCGCAAGTCTGCCGGCTCTCCCTCTCGCTGATCTGCCGGCTCTCCCTCGCGCTGATCTGCGGCTCTCCCTCGCGCTGATCTGCCGGCTCTCCCTCGCGCTGATCTGCGGCTCTCCCTCGCGCTGATCTGCCGGCTCTCCCTCGCGCTGATCTGCCGGCTCTCCCTTGCGCTGATCTGCCGGCTCTCCCTCGCGCTTATCTGCCGGCTCTCCCTTGCGCTGATCTGCCGGCTCTCCCTCGCGCTTATCTGCCGGCCCTCCCTCGCGCTGATCTGACTTGCTCTGGTCTGCGCGCAACGGCGGGCGGGAGGGGGGGGGCGCTTTTGGAAGAGTTGTGCGACACAACGAATCGATGACGCAATTCGTTGCCAACGCTTTTAGTAATCGATTTTCATCGAATTTATCGATTCGTTGTTGCAGCCCTACACGACACTCACCATCCACGTTCGGATGCTGTCTGCCAGAGCATAAACCTGCACAAACTCCTCGCTCAGGCACACACTGCCGTCAGGATTAACTAAAACACAGGAGAGGAGATAAATCAGCAGGATGAAACATCCAGAACCATCAAAGAAATCCCTTCAGCTGTGTGATGAACGCAGAGGATTACCGCCGGTCTTCAGGGCCCGGTTCAGAGCGGGTGTGTGGTACACCATGGCGGCCCAAATGGCGTTCACAGCTTGGTCTGTCTTTGGCCCGGCTGCTATCTCATTTCTCATTGGCTGTTTTCTGCAGGTCTGCATGAGGTTCCTCATTAGTTCTGTCCGACTGTTCTTCACATCTTGGGAAGGGTTCCAACGTGCAAAATCCTCCAGGAAGACCAGAAAGTCATCTGGAGTCCACGTGTTCGTCTACAGAAAAAAAAAGATTTAAAAATCGTAAAAGTCAGGTTGTAGAACAGCAAACTGCTCAGAGTCTACGAAGGTTTGGGCTTACCTGGTCTGGAACTGTTTTAGTCGGATTCGTTTCCCGTTTTTCGTACAGTCCATGTCGGAGGATGGGTTTCCACAGAGGGGAAGACTGAACGTGGCAGACTTTTCCAGGCGGGATCTTCTTTACGGTGCGAATCTCTGGAGAAGGCCGTAAAAGATTAAGGGATGCGTTACAATACAAATAAATGAAAAAGGTATCATATTTGATCCCAGTTTTCCAGATCGCTCGCTCCGGATGGAAGGTGGTCTCACCATATGGGGATTTCAAAGCCAGGGTTCTGGAGGCGAGGCGACCCATGAGGCGAGCCACGAGCAGCTGCAGGTCAGACATCCAGGAAATGGTGATATCTGGGAGTCCCAGAGCTGTGACCGAAAACTTGTAACCCCACTCGTTGTTGCTGCTGTCCGAGTGGAAAAGGAACTGCAGCTGAGGGCCGGCATCGAACGTCACCTTCTGCAGGAGCAAAGGAACAAACGAGTGAAAGATGAAAGCAACTCCGAGCCCAACAGAGACTACGGGGTGTTTTTTATTAGCCCACCTTTGGCCATTTCTCAGTCCCAACCTTCATGTCGTAGCGCACCTTCCCACCTCTGGAATCAGTGAATTCTAGATAGTCGTATCTGGGAACATTAAAGGGAATGTTGGTGAAAACCTTCATTAGGAAGCATGGACGTAATTTTCACTTTAGAAGTGGGGGGGGGGGGGGGGGGGGGATCTTTACAGTATGTTCTCATGGGAAACAGGCTTCAACACAAATGGTTGTTTTCTGCTTGGTCCTAGAGCTCACCCAGTGTCAATTTAATACAGTGTAATATTGATTTTGGATGGCAAAAAGTGCAGGGGTCAAAACTTGACTTTGGAAAAATTGGGGGGGGGGGACATGTCCCCCCTGTCCCCCCCCAAAATTACGTCCATGTTAGAAAGTATAAAAATGTGTTGCACGGCATCACTCACCTCTTCTCAGTCTCACAGCGCTCATCAAACTCCACCTCGAACGAGGTCGCACCGGGACAGGCGAAGATGGTCGTCTCGTGACGGCTGTTCTCGTAGTTGTGAGGAGATTCCAGGCTCCAGGTCCTCAGGATGACTGGCTTCTGAGGCTGGTGCCAGCTCTCCTGATCCACCTTAAAATTCATGGTGAAAACAATCATTCAAACATTGCATCTATCAGAAGGCGTGTGGCTTTAAGAGCTTATGCATTAAGTCTTCGACAAAGCTATTTGAATTTTAAACACCTGCAGTAGCCGCTTAGCTTCCTTTACTTTGGTGATAATTGCTAATCTTAATAACAGCAGTTGTTTATTTAATAAAGCATGTGCACAAAGGGGCCTGACCTTAGAGAAGATGTCTCCAGTGTTGCTCGACAGGCTCTTAATCAGCTCCACCAGAGAGGAGAAGCTCTTCAGCAGCACGCTGTGAGGAATGTCCAGGGGGCACAACTCCAGCAGGAAAATCATCTGCAGGAGCAGGAAAACCATATTTTTAAATGTTTCAGTAGAATTAGCTCCATACCCCTGCGATCTGCAGGACAAGTCTGCATTACCAGCTGTCTGAAGACTTTGGCCAGGATGGAGCTGCCCAGTTTGTCTGTGATTTCAGAGCTGGTGAACATCTCCAGCAGGGACTCGAGTACTGCTTTGACGCTTCCCAAGAACTGATCCACATCTGACGAATCAAACATTTAATGAACTTTTTAAGCATTCATCTGATGTGGGCATAAAAACAAAGAGAACAACTGTTGATGTCTCACATTTTAGGAGGATGTCTCTGGACAGCTCCAGTGCCACCGGCGTGGACGCTCCGCCTTTCAGCTGCAGGTAACACCAGGAAAGCAGACTTCCCTGCAGAGCCCAGAACAAGGACAGCAGGACCGCCCTGCTGCTCCCGCTGCTTTCATCCACCATCAGACCCTCACACTGAATAAAGACAGAATCAGTTTAAACGACACAAAAAAAAAAAAAATTCAACGAATGATTAAAAAGTCCAGAAGTTAGCCGACCTCTCTAGTTGCTACCAACAGCAGCATCTTCGTGACCGACAGCATTGGGCTGATGTCAAAGTCTGACGGAGCTCCTTTAGGGGGCAGCAGCAGAAGGCCGCTGGGGTCCTGTTCGCTGCACAGAACAAACAAGCAAAACCAGTCTGGTGCCGATCCGCTCTGATGTCTCAGGATGAGAGAAAAGGAGTTTTCTCATTCTCACCTGAAGTAGTTACAAAGAGACTCGAACGTCACCTTCATCGACTCTGGCTGGTCCTCCTCTACGATATTCTTCTGTAAAATCCCAGATTGTTATTTGTGCTGAAACTGAATCGGAGGGTTAAAAACGGAGGAAAATAACTAAATCAACCCCGCCTACAAAGTCCATGAGAATAAATGTCCTCTATAAAATTATTTAAAAATTAGGTAAGAAACAATCATGAAAAAGAAGGTCATTATAAAAACTTGTTCATTCACCATCATGTTGAACAGTTTGTTCCGCCTGTCGAGTTTATCAGGGAAGAACACTGCTGCTCCGCTGAGAAGGGCCTTCACTGCCTCTTTGTGCAAAGCTGCTTCCATTAAAGTCTTGCCCTCTGGACCGTCCACAACTAAAACACAGAAGAAATCAAATATGTGGGAGACCTCAGGAGCTCCAGCAGGATGAAGATGTTGCCCTGGTTCAATAACAGCCGGAATGCGGCAGAATTTAAGTCTCAATATTCACGATATTCAGACGTCTGACGGCGATGTGACTCTTTTGCTATCGTTTGCTCTTCAGCGTTGATGTTTCATCACCACAAAGAACATGAGCCTTAAAGAGACCGTGTGTATTCTCCCTGACAATAGGGGGCAGTAGATGCCTAAATGGTTGCAAGCAAGCAGCGTTTTGTGTTGGAGTAAGACCTTACCAACAGACCCCATTAGGTTCAAAAAGCCCTGGGGAGTGCAAACTTCAGCAAAACAATGAGCACATCAGACTCCCAATTCCATTTTTGGTTCTTTTTAAAACACAGAAAAGGCTTTTCTTTACCTTGCTGACAGTTTCGTTTGCGGCTGCAAACTTCCTCAGAGCTGACGCTGATGGTGGCGTCACTTCCTACTTCGTTTATCCGCGGGCAGCAGAGGACGTTGTCGCCCTCTGCTGCCCGCTCTCCCCTCTCCGATGATGCAGTCCCATGCACGATCCAATGAGTAGACCCCATCGTCTCTGTTCATGGTCCCACATCCACGTCTCCTTATCTCTATAGCTTCTTTTATCCATCTCTTGTATTTCTGTTGTTCGGTGTTTATGATCCTTGTGTTGTCCCAGTCCATTATATGGTTTTCTCTTGTGCAGTGATCTGTTACGGCTGACTTCTTTATTGTGCTTTCTGCTTTTTGTTTTGCTGCTCTTGTGTGTCTTTGACTTGTTTCTCTCTCGCACTCCTTTCTATGTTCTATTGTTCGTGTGTTGAGTTGGCGTCCGGTTTCTCCTATGTGTGTTTTATTGCATCACGTGACCGCCGCGGAAGCCGCGGTCACGTGATGCAAGTCTGTTCCATTTAACCGTTTTCTTTGACCAAGGACGGACAGCGTCCTCGTAAGAAAGGCGCCTGACCTCGCAAGACATCGCCTTGCGAGGTCAGGCGCCTTGACATTGAGAAACACCCTGAGACCCGCTCCCATGTATTTTAGACCTGATTTTTATGGCTATATGTTACGAAGCTGCCAATATTTTTTAACAACTGAGCATCATTTCATTCATTTTCAACAACATTTTGATGGATATTTCCAGAAATTAATGGTGAAAACTACACATTGTCTCTTTAAGGACTTATGCCATGTTGTGGAATTGCTAATGCTAACAGTTAGCTTCTACTAGCAGAGGCATGCACTACTCTTCTGGAAACTAAATCAACAGCCTACCCCGTCACAAGCCAAGATGGGCGAGTCCATACAGGGCTAACTTTCAGTGTGACGTAGATCTGAGTGGCTTTTCTAATTTGCGCGTTTCCCCATCAATTTCCTTTTGACGGCTAATGCAGGAAATAGGGGTAGAAGACGATTTTCACGTTCTGCATGACCGATCGTAATTCAAAACTAACACGTAAACACGGTTTCTCAGTTAACTTTCTCTTTAAACTCAGATAACTTTCCATGCGTCACCAAAACATACTTTTCATTTTCATACAAGAAAAAAACGTATTAAACTCAATTTTGAGCTAAAAAAAAATCTTAAATGAGTCAAAAGAAATTAAATTAATCATAAAAAAACTGTCTACCTTCAGTGAGCATCCTAAACCTTGGCTTAGACCCCGCTTCCATCAGACCTTCATAATAAAATGTGACCTTTATGGATTCTTACTTTCACACAAGTGAGTGTAGAGTTCCGACACAGCCGTTGTAGAGGGACGTTGAGGTTCTCCAGTGCTGGAGGGACCTGCTGCTGCTGAGGAGCCTCCCTCTGACCCTCCGCTCTCCTCTGTGTTCGGAGGCTCCAGCGGGTTGGGCAGCATGGGAAAACAATTCTGCATCAGCTGTAGGAGCAGAACCCTGCTCTTCATCTCCTCCTCGCCATCACTGTAACGAAGACGTGCGGAGGTCTGAGTAAGCGGCTTACTAGGAGTAAAACTGTTAAACAGGAAGGGAACATAATAAATCAAAAACACTCACAGCTCCCTGAGTTTAGTGTACAAGTTCCAGAAGAGGCTCAGACTGAGACCGTTGAAGTCCAGAAGGTATTTCTGCTTGAGGTAAGAGGCGTCCTGCAGAAAGAGACGAGAGTCAAGGCACTCATTCAACAGTAGAGCGTCTGCATGGATTCCTGCAATAACTCACCGAGGCCACAAGAGGGCAGACTGGTCTACAAAGAGCAAGGAATTATGGAAAGTAAAAGTGCAAAGAAAGAAGCTCTTTCGGCTCTCACAGCATGTGGGTCATTTTGGTTCAAGAAAAGTGTCACATTGCTTCAGAAATGTGAGACTTTCCAGCATGGACGTAATTTTGGGGGGGGACAGGGGGGACATGTCCCCCCCACTTTTTCCAAAGTCAAGTTTTGACCCCTGCACTTTTTACCATCCAAAAATAATATTACGCTATATTTAATTGACACTGGTTGAGCTCTAGGACCAAGCAGAAAACAACCGTTTGTGTTGAAGCCTGTTTCCCATTAGAGCATACTGTAAAGATCCCCCCCCCCCCCCCATGTCCCCCCCACTTCTAAAGTGAAAATTACGTCCATGCTTTCCAGTCTAACTGGTCGTCCAAGTCTTTGGATTTAATTCAGCAAAATTATGAATTACTCAAAAATCGACTTGAGAAGAAACCGGCGCTTTATCCTCAGATCACCTTAGCAAAAACATTTCCACTTCCTGCGTCACTAGTTCAATCTACAAAATAGAAATGGTAGGTTTCTTTCGTTAAAACAGGAACGAGGTCATTCCTGAATAATAATTAGGTGGTTTAATAATTTACTCTGAAAAAGTATAAACTAAACGGCATTTTTTAATGTTAATCCTACCAGGTTCAGTGCTACGTTACCATGTCTCGTGTAAGCTGCTGGACGAAGAACAAGGTCTTGTTTAGCAGGCAGAGGCCAGTGACAGAATCGGGAGTAAAGTTGTCTCCCTGTCCACTGAGGTCATCCAGGTCCACAAGCCTCTCGGATCCTGGGCAAAGGTAGCCACTGAAGCTAAGAGTCTGCACGCCGAGGCGCTCAGCGGAGTCCTGCCTGGTGCTGAGGAATTTCACCATCAGGAACTTAGAACACGGGAAACGAGACAAGCACAGCTGACGGGTTATGACCTGTTCTGTTTCAGGCTGTAAAAAGTGCCCAAATGTTAAACAAGACGATTTAAAAGGTGTTAGGAAACATGGCAGCCGTTACCTTGGCAACGCGACACTGCTGCAGCTTGATCTCCACATCATTCCAGTCATCCTCCAGTTCAAACCAGCCAATGGGCTCATCCACATTCTGGGCTGAAATCCTCACACTGCAGGTCACATGACAGCGAGGTTTGTAATCCACGTGCAAAAACACTACATGTGTTTATTTTATAACCAAAAGCACAAACAACTAAACCTTTACAACAGATAAAAAGCTACAGAAGATTCCTTACTTGTCTTGTACGAACTCTTTGTACTCCTTGTAGCTCCAGGAGTCAAACTTTTTAAACCTTTTAAAATGTTTCTCTGCATCAAAAGGATCTTCCTCCATGTACGCAAAAACCAGACCACATTTTGCTCCGATGGCTCCTTTTCGCACCTGAACCAGAATTGATGCAAATTAATCCTCCACTGCGGTCCGATTATTCCTCTAGACTGTGATAACTTACTTTGATCTTCATCTGAGTAACCTGGAAGTTGCTCTGGTCCTCCGTGGACAGGATCACGCTGGCTTTCCTCCTGCCGCTCTCAGTGAGAAAACCTGGAAAGCAGCCAACATGGATGACAATTCATTCAGTGAATGAACTAAAGATCAGCTGCAGCTGCTCTGAGCCGTACCGTCTCCTGTGGACGACTCTACCAGCATGTTCTCTGGTCCCGATTTCTCCTCCTTACTCTTCACATCACAGGCCTGCAGGTGAAGCTGGAGGGGCTTTCCTAAAACAAAACAACACTTTACGTTATAAAAGACTCAAAAACTTGATCATTTCACTGAGACAGAAGCCATTATTGTTGTTTAGATACTTGAAGAGGGGATTTATAATAATCAGATCAGTGTAGAATAGGAGTTTCTTTGGGTCTTAAGTAAAACAAAAGAGGATATGGTTCAGTCACCGTTACGATAGAGTAATCGTAGCCTCACTGAAGCCATGGACACGATGAGCGAGGAGGCCTTGTACTTGGTCTGTAGATGATCACTGATGCAGGTCAGGGTCTGGAGGACTTTGGCCACGCTGCCTCTGGCCAGAGCGAAGGCCAGAAGGGTCATTTCAGCGTCGGGACTCAAACAGCAGCTGCACAGAAAGAAAGAAACAAACAAACAACGGCATTAATTGATATTTGTGTCAAACATCCTTTAGCTAGGAGTTAGGGCTGGGCAATAAATAGAAAATTTATCATTATCAAAATTTCTGATGCTGATCGAGATAATTTTTCCCACGTCAATAAATGTGATTATAAAAAATTTAAAAGATGTGTGTAGGTTGGCAACATTCGTGTCCCTTTAAGAAGCTGCACCACCTTGAGTCACGTAAAAATGTGACAGCCCCATCTAGTGGACAACTTTTGTTTCTGCGCATACCTGTAGTTATTGTCCATTTATCGTTATTGAGGTGAAATCTTTAATATATTGTGATATTGATTTTAAGCCGTATCGCCCAGCCCTACTAGGAGTGTATGTGTCATAAGGTCATAACATCTGTCAGTCTGTTTTATTCCTCAGGCTGATAAAGCTTTTCTCTTTCAGGTGTTTGACCCTTTCCACCTCACTCCCTCACTATTTCCACTTTACTCTGCTTTCACTAAGATGCTATGAATCATAAATTACAGGCCCATGGGGGTTAAATGGGTTAATTCATAACAAGTTCAGTGATTAGATGAAAACAAATCAAATGCGGAGTCCCTCAAGGTTCAGAGTTCGGTCCCAGCAAAATCAATTAAATGAATAACTGTAAACAAAATGAATATTGGAGAACATAAATAGAATAGTATGGACTTTAGTAATCCCACAGTGGGGATATCAGTCTGTTTATCAAGTCAAATACATGCAATTACTTGATGAAATACTTTATTATGTAGACGAGCAGAAAAAAAGTGCAACAAGAGACTGGATTCTAACTATTCCCTTTGCACAAACTGCAGTAAATTATTTTAAATGATTGGACTAACTGCTCATCTTAGTACAACAGACTGAAACAAATGAAATTGTGTCAGATCAAAGCAGTGATGGTAGCTTACTCTGCTATCCTGAGGAGAAACCCATCCACTTCCTCCAAGATGTTCAGAGAGAAAAACTTGGGGAACTCTGTGGATGATGGCGTCAGAGACAACGGAGGCATGTGTTGTAAGGCTTTCCTAAGAGGAAACAGCACAAATAAATCTCAGAACTTCAACACGGGTGGTCCATGGACATAAATCCACCAGGCCTGGATCTTACTGTGTGCTCTGAAGGACAGTCTGAGCCAGAACAGAGTTGGTCTCCATGGATGCTGTGACCAAAGAGGTGAGGAGAGACAAGTACCAGATGGCTGAAGCATCCGAAACAGACACCTCTTTACTCTTGGTAATCTGATAGCCCAGTGTCTTCAAGCCGTGAATCCGTGTATCACATCCGTCACTCAGGCACCGCTTAATGTTGATTTGAATGTCTGGGATTGGTTAAGAGAACAAAATTAGCCCAGTGGTGGAATGTACTGAAGACAGGCCATAAAAATGTCTGAAGGAACATGAAAGAAAACCCTTCTAGTCAATATAGACTACCACAGAAAATTCACAGACCTGTTAAGGATAAGAGATATATCGAAAATATTTTTGGAGCATTCAACAGTTGTTCCACACACTTCAAAACCCCTGCAGACGCTAAAATATTTTTACATTTATTTTAAATAGGCCAATAATTTTTATACTGATGTACTTCCATTCAAGTATGATGACAGTCTAGTACGTCTTCTAGATTTATACTTTAAGGAGTTAAAATCACCAATAAACACAACAACTATGTCACCAGCTGAAGTAAATCTGTGTCTATAGTCTCCTTAAAATGTGAACTCTTTTATGCTTTACATGATATTAAACTTACACCTTAAAGTAGAATCCATCTAAATTTCCGAGTACAACCATACAACAGTAAGAAACGTTTGAAACGAGTGTAGACGTTTGGTTTGCGGAGTGAAACTTCCTGTATTTTTGAGTCGCCACATCATGCTCTTGTTTTGACGAGTCACCCTGTAGTGTGCATTTGCCAACTCAGTGAGTAATTGTGGTAAAAATTTTGATTGAAAAAATTGTGATTATGATTTTATTAATTAAGAATCTGTAAAAATTGTGAATGTGAAGAGAGGTTTTACCCCAAAACAGGTTATTAGTTCATGATAAATTATCATTTAATTGTGATCACCGTCGATGCATTCTCTTACACTTGCGCGGCTTATCGTAGGTTTATTATTGAATGACCAGTTTTACCAAACAGGTTCCAGCACCTATAGTTTTCACTAATATGAAAATTTGGGCCAATATCATTACTGCTGTTATAGCCCATACCCTTATTTACCACACACACACACACACACACACCACTCAGAAGAGCTGAGAAAGACCAGCATGCTGGAGTTTTCTCTCTATCTCAATCACTAGAAGAAAGGGAGGAGGATGCAAGAGGCGAGCAGCTCAGAGCCGTCTCTTTCCGAATCAACTCGTGAGTGGATGAGCCAGCTGGAGGTGGGGCTGAGATGTCATCATTTAGGACAGGCAACGCCACTGGGTACCTCTCACACAATTCTGTTTGCAACAAGAGGTTTGTCTAGGTTGGCCAAAACTCACACAGTGTGGTCCGGGCATTAGCCATAAGCAAAGGCTGATTCAAATGCAGAGTTTTGACCTTACGAGGGCGCGATAATGACAGTTTTAGGCTGACGTTTCTGTATTTTATATAAGATGCAAAAAAAATGCAAAAAATAATGACTACACATGTGTACAACACTATTAGACAGTTTATCAGCCCAAAACAAGTTGATTTGGGGTGACTTGCTCTTTAAAGTGGCAGTGTGTAGTTTCCTGCCACTAGGGGGCAGAACATACATCTCAGGTTAGTTTTACACCACATTACCGTGACTGTCGCTAGTTTAAGGTAATTGTTGTTACCTGTGGAGCAGAAAGCATGCGACTCCTCAGACTTTGATGGTCCTTCGGTTAAATCCATCAAGAGAATGCAATACTGGTTGTAGTTTTCTGGCGCTGTAGTTCCCAGATCTGCACCGTCACCACACTACGGCAAAACCGCTTGGCCAAAATATACTGCATCTCTTTTTAGGCCCGAGCAGCAAAGCGCTGCGAAGGCCTCTTGTTTTTGCTCTGTTTATTATTATTTTTTATTATTCTTAGCCCGCTTTGAACGTCTTTTTGGGGACCTTAACATACCCCAAAACTCACAATATTTTGCAAACTTGTCAGGCCTGGTGAAAAATTTGATATTTTAAAGGTCCCAAAAAAATCACAAAGAAAATGGCTGAACAGCGCCCCCTAGAAAGTGAAAAAAACCCCTCTCCATAAAGCTTAGTTTATCGTACAGTTATGAAATTTGGTACACTTGTAGTACTCAACAGTCCGCACAGAAAAGTCTCTTGCAACCATGGTCAATATCAAACAGGAAGTCGGCCATTTTGGGTTGAAATGGCGATTTTTTGCAGTTTTTGCCGTTTTTAGGGTCCGTTCCTGATTGGATTGCTCGATCATTTTTCGCACGATCGTCTCAAAAATTGTGTAAAATTGCTAAGAAGGGATGGGCGAACAAAATGAGATGAGAATTCTGAGTTTTCGTATATGTTGAAGGGGCGGGGCCAGGCCTCGAAGTTTGACTACTCGCCAAAAATATTTAAATTGCTATAACTTCATAACTGAATGGAATAGAGTTACCAAACTTTCTGTGGTCATTCGTCATCCACCCACAAAGTAAATTGAATGGTCGGATGATGACATCACACAAGCCCCGCCCCCTCAGGACCAAAAAGATCAAGTTTTACTGTGAAAGGTCCCAAATTGCCCCATTTCACTTAATCACCACAAATTTGTAGCTGGTAACTCAAGACAAGTGGGGGTTGCTTGGCGTCACTTTATGGGAGTTTTCGGCAGAGGGCGGGGCTGTGGCGGCGCGGCGAATTCAGGCGTACCGCCGTGGCCTTACGTTTGCCTCCCATTTCGTCATTTCCAAAGATATCGTCACGAAACTTCTTGTGAGTGATCCTAGTCCGGCCCCCCAAAAGATCTGATGTGAATATCTGGTGGGCGTGGCCTATTTTCTGAAATAGCGCCCCCTAGGACCATTAAAACTGTCAGCCCCAAGCCATGCTTTGACTGAGGATTACGAAATTTGGTACACTAATGTGGTGTCTCAGGACCTACAAAAAAGTCTCTTGGAGCCAAGTGCAAAGTCGCACAGGAAGTCGGCCATTTTGGTCCAAGTGCGCGATTTAGTGGTTTTCACACACGTTGTTTGGAGAGTGATACTCCGTCGCCCTTTTCACCAATCACTTTCAAACTTCTGCTATATAGTCTTAAGACATAGAGGAAAAAATTCAACCGTCGGATTTTAAATAAGTATAAAGGTGTGGGCGTGGCTAAGCCTCAAACTTTGACCTTTCGCCACGCCACTCTTTTTTTCACAGCTCCTTATTGGACTCCTTTTACCCAATCACCAGGAATCTCTGGTAAATAGCAGCAGGCAAGTTGAGGTCACTTGGTCTCCAGTACTGGAAGGTTTTGAAAAAAGGCGGGGCTTTGGGAGCATAGCGAAATTCGCCATCACGCCATGAAAATACGTTTGCCTCTCATTTCTTCATTTATCGTGATATCACCTCAAAATTTGTTGTGAGTGATCCTAGTCTGACCCCCAATAGAAATGGTCAGTTTAAGTTTGTGGGTGTGGCCTATTTTCTGAATTAGCGCCCCCTAGGACCATTAAAACTGTCAGCCCCAAGCCATGCTTTGACTGAGGATTACGAAATTTGGTCCACTAATGTGGTGTCTCAGGACCTACAAAAAAGTCTCTTGGAGCCAAGTGCAAAGTCGCACAGGAAGTCGGCCATTTTGGTCCAAGTACTCGATTTAGTGGTTTTCGCACACGTTGTTTGGAGAGTGATGCTCCATCGCCCTTTTCACCAATCACCTTCAAACTTCTGCTATATCCTCTTAAGACATAGAGGAAAAAATTCAACCGTCGGATTTTAAATAAGTATAAAGGTGTGGGCGTGGCTAAGCCTCAAACTTTGACCTTTCGCCACGCCACTCTTTTTTTCACAGCTCCCTATTGGACTCCTTTTACCCAATCACCTGGAATCTCTGGTAAATAGCAGCTGACAAGTTGAGGTCACTTGGTCTACAGTACTGGCAGGTTTTGAAAAAAGGCGGGGCTTTGGGAGCATGGCGAAATTCGCCATCACGCCATGGCAATACGTTTGCCTCTCATTTCTTCAATTATCGTGACATCGCCACAAAATGTCTGGTGAGTGATCCTAGTCTGAACCCCAATAGAAATGGGCATCTGAGATTTGTGGGCGTGGCCTATATTCTGAAATAGCGCCCCCTAGGACCATTAAAACTGTCAGCCCCAAGACAAGGTTTGACTGAGGATTACGAAAATTGGTACACTCATGTAGGGTCTCTGGACCTACAAAAAAGTCTCTTGGAGCCAAGCGCAATTTCGCACAGGAGGTCGGCCATTTTGGTCCAAGTACTCGATTTAGTGGTTTTCGCACACGTTGTTTGGACATTGATGGCCCGTTGCCCTTTACACCGATCACCTTCAAACTTATGCTATGTACTTTTAAGTCAAAGGGGAAAAAATTCAACCGTCGGATTTTAAATAAGTATAAAGGTGTGGGCGTGGCTAAGCCTCAAACTTTGACCTTTCGCCATGACATTACTTGACTTAACTCCCATGTGCATGATCAGATCTAATTCAAACTTTGTCTGTGTGATCACTGACCACATCTCAAGACAACAACAATGTGGACAGCTGACATCACCTAAGCCCCGCCCCCTGACAACAGGAAGTCTATTGTTTTATGGTGAAATGCCCATATTTGTCCCCTCTAATTTAGTGAAAATGACACTCAGGTCATACAGTGTCTTCATGATGTTTTAAAAACCATTCAGATCTGATAGCTTTCCAGAAAGGGAGGGGCTTTGATGCCATGGTGAATGCTGGCGTGACGCCATGACCTTACATTTGACTGTAACTTCCACAAACGGCCTCCGATTTGCCCGAAACTGAATATGGCAATGAACAATCATGCCCTTTAGCCAATGAGGCACAAACGGTTGGTGAATGTTATATAATGTCACCAAAGCTGACCTCAATGGGACTTTTCTGTAGTTGGTCACAGCGCCACCTAGATAACGTTATCCTTCGATAACTTTAAAAAACATGGTCAGAATAGCATTAAAGTTGGTCACTGTCATCACACCACCAGTGTGGTAAAGATAGAGGATTCCCTAGTGGTGAGACATAAAATATAATGGTGGGCTCAAAGGGGATGCTGAGTCAGGGTGAGTTGCGGACAAGGTGGCCGTTAGCAGTTTCTGGTGTTGGGGTGGTCGACGTTTGTGTTCTGCGGACGTGCCCTGGTGCCCCGGGCTGCCGGCCAGGCCGGAGCGGCGCGGAGCTGCGAGGGCCGAACGACGCTGCTTGCAGCTTTAATTTGATTCTGTTCTTTCACATAAGTTTTGGAAACAGTTTAGCAGTTTTGTTATTAAACTCATGTTTATTTTTGAACATGGCAACGTAACTTCCGTAAGTCGTACATCCAGCCAATCACAGGAGAGGAGCAGAACCCCAAGCTGGCCAGAAGGAAACGTCGCGTCTGATACGGCGTCCCCCAAAGGTGCCAGTCCCGCGCCCTATGTACTTTAGACCACATTTTTATGGTTATATGGTACGAAGCTGCCAGTATTTTTCAAGAGCTGGACATCATTTTATTAATTTTTAACAATGTTTCAATGGATATTTTCAGGGATTAACAGTAAAAATACACACAGTCTCTTAAGTTAAAAGTTCTTTAGAATGACTGCCCTAAGAACCCGTCTCCAACCCTTCTCTGTTTAGTTTGAGTCAGAAAGAGCAAACTTTTGAGGAAAATGTGAGATGTTTGAAATGAGAATTCATTCAAAAGCTAAGTGAGAGTGTATTATTCCTATTTTCATTTTAAAAATTAAACAATGAGATGTCATATTTGTGAAAAATGTTGCAGACGGGGACTCACAGGGATGTGTGATGTTGGCGTTCTCCAGTAGAGCTATGTAGCCTGTCACGTTGCTGGGGATGCGGATGTCTCTGATCTCCTGCAGCGAACGCCGGTTTTTCCCGACAGACACCGAGACTAGCTGGGGCATGTAGCTGTGGTCATTGGACGCCACGGCAATGGCCAGACGCCTCAAGACCACATCTGGTTTCATTTTCAGTCTGGAAACAGAGAAAAGAAGATGGACATAGGTCGTTTAAAACACACAAACGTGTCAGCGAGCGAGGTATGCAGTCAGGTTTTTACCTTGTGTTTATGTATTCAGCGACTTACAGGTGATAATCAAGCCAACAGGTTGCCCTTGAGGCTAACAACAAACACTATTCAATCAGTCCCAGGTGGCAGTGAGGCAGCATAATCGATCGTAGAGGGAGGCTAAAATGGAGTGTGCAGTAGAGTGGGGGACGGGTGCTAGTTTAGAAGATGCTCACTGAAGAGCTGAGCCTTCAGGAGTTTCTTAAGTCGAAAAGGAAGTCCCTGTTCTAGTAGTGCTTTTTAGGTGATTCCACGTCTGTGGAACGACACATGAGAAGAGTCTGGATTGTCCTGAGCGTGGTGTAGGCACTGCTAGCCGACGATCCTTCGATGACCGGAGCAGCCGGGTCGTGACGTACGCCGTTGCAAGAGGATTCAGGTAGATGGGACCCGTACCATCCAGAACTTTGTATGCTAGTGTTAGCGATTTGAATTTGATGTGTGCTGCTAGCGGTAGCCAATGGAGCTCAATGAACAGAGGGCTAACAAGTGCTCTTTTAGGCTCGTTGAAGACCAGACGTGCCGCTGCGTTCTGGACCATTTGAAGAGGTCTCACAGTACAGGCTGGGAGACCAGCTAGACGGGCATTGCAGTAGTCGAGGCGGGAGATGACTGTAGATTGCACCAGGAGCTGGGTGGCATGTTGTGTTAGGAACGGTCTGATCTTCCGTGCGTTATACAGCACGAAGCGGCACGAACGAGCAACAGGCAACGTGATCTTTAAAGGTCAGCTGGTCATCAATCACAACACTCAAATTTTGAACTGCCTTTGAAGGAGCCAGAGATAGGGAATCCTTTTATATTGAGATAGTGTGCCGTACCTTATCCAGTGTGAGCGGGCACTCCCGTCAGACTGCCAGAAGGACATCGTATCCCCGTTGGACATCTTGTAGACATCAGCGACGTTGGAAGAAGCCTCTATTGAGCTGTAGCACTGTGTAACCACTTTGACCTTATCTACATCTGGATCACGATCTAGTTCTGCTCTGTACTGGATGTCTAGATCTGAAAACGAACATCTCAGATTAGGACAATCGTTCAGTCGTGAAGCAGAAGACAGCTTTAATCTATGTCTGAATCAATAATTAGATGATAGGGCCTAAATAGTACGCTGCCAACTTTCTTCAGGAACTTACTGACTCAGCACTTAAACACTCACTCACCTTTCTCCTTCTGCAGCAGGAACTCCAGGAAGTCCTGGACCACGCTGGCCCTCATGGTGCAGATGCTGTTGTAGCCCTCTAAAATGGGGAAAGGAATGGAACTGCTGGGAATACGATTTCTCTGCAAGAACTTCAAGATCTTAGAGGCGTGTGCTCCCAGTCGGTCTTTGCTCTTGGAAAAAATGTCAACAAAACCTGAGGGTGGAAAAAAAGATGAAATATTACAAAATAATTAGATGATAAATGTCAAACAAGCGATTATCTTAAAGATCTCAGTCTGATACTGGTAAACAAATCTTACCTGGCGTTAGGGAGCACGCCTGCAGCTGTCTTATCACATGACTCAGCTCTCCCTGTAGATTAGCTCCGTTGGAGTTCTTAAGGGCAACCAGCATGCTCTCTATGTCCACCACGCCGTCCCCCTCTGCGTCAAACTGTCCGAAGGCCTGAGACGGGGAGGATACACTCTTTTATATCCTGACGGACACAATAAATCCATCCTGGATCTTTTACTATAACGTAGACCTGTGGTTTGATAGGATTTAGTTAAGAGTAACTGAAGTGTAAAACGTCTGTACAGCTGAGGACAACACCTGTACACCTGGAAACAAACCTGTGGATGATTCTGTCTGAATCACACGTGTGCCTATACAAAACCTCTGGATAAACAACTCATGTCAAACAAAGCAGGGACAAGCTGACAGCGACAGTAACCTTGGTGACTGCACACCCTCAACATGACCCGACATTAATCCTATCAGCTGATTACTCGTTTTGGGTGTGACATTTAACAGCAGCTCAACTTTGATACCTGAGATATAAAATAAACTACAGATTTGATTTATAGCATCACACACAACAGGCCTGCTTCTGCTTGCTGCTTACATACCTCCTCACATTCGTCCCTCGGGGCATCTCTGCTCTCCAACATCTCCCGAAACTGTTCCACATTGACCGTCTCCTCTCCTCGGTTTAACCGGTCCTCCAGCCACCGCATCAGGACACCCTCGTTCCCGGACAGGACGGACTTATGAATGGTAACCCCCGAGTCGCTGACACGAGCTGCCGCCTCTCTCAGTTTCACTTGCTCCAAGAGAACCCCGGGCCCGGGTGGTCCGCCGGTGTGTGCGGGCAGGTTATTCGATCCCCTTCCGCTTCTTCCAGAACCGGTGCCTCCTCCACCTCCGGCGAGACCGCCGCCAGTGGCCGCAGAGGCCGGGCTGTCTTCCGCCAAACCGGGGCTCTCCGTCTCTATGTCTTCCTCGTCGCCGCTGCCTCCACCGCAGCCGCTCTCCGCGTTCCCCATGTTTGTTTCGTCTTCCTGGGGCTGCCCTGGAAATACCAGCGGCCCTGTTGGTGTCCGTCCCGGTCTGTACACAGACCTCTACCGTTCACCTACGGCCAGAACGCTGATGCGTTCAACTGCCGCATTCACGTAATGTGCGTCAGCGTGCCTGTGACGTCTCTTGCGTGCGCATGCGTTGTAGGGACATGATGGGAATTTCGACTCATTTCCGGGATCAGTTTCTATTTGTGCAAAATGAAAGGTTTAAACAAACAAATTCATACATTTTTTTTATTATTAAAAGACACCTATTGAAAAATAAAAGTTTCAATCCCTCAACATTTTCAATTTTACTTCAATTGTTTCCTGTTTTCTATATATTATTATTACTATTTGAAATAGTAATAGTAAAACAAATTGTAAATTAAAACGAAATATCCACAATAAGCATTTCAAATAGTATTTTTGGACAGCATTTTATATGAATTATAAAAAAAACTTTAACCTGCAATTTGCTCTTTAAGTGTGCTACTGGACTATAACATGGGAATAAAGAATTTGACTTGACTTAAAGTGGTAGTGTGTATTTTTTTACCAATAATCTCTGGAAATATTCTTCAAAATGTTGTTGAAAATTAATAAAATTATGTCCAGTTGTTGAAAAATATTGCTGCTTCATAACATATAAAAATCAGGTCTAATGGAGCAGATGTCTCTGGGTGACACCATTTTAGAGGCAATAATTCCTTCTACGCAAGTCTGCGAAGACAAAACCTATTTACTAATTTTTAATAGTGGTTACAAAACTTTTGCCATTCATAAACATTGTTGATTTACACATTTATCTCCTTGTTCGTCTTGTTATTTTGCTGGATGATTTCACAAAGAACTCATTCGAAAATTGCGCTCCCAGGGATTTTTGACCCTGATGGACATCTGTTGGTAAGATCTTACTTGAACACTAAAATATTGCTTGTCTGCAATGATTTAGGTATGTACTGGTCCCTATCAACAAGAAAAAATACACTCCTTCCCTTTAATTGAAAGGCACCTAGATATCCTTTTTTGGGCATTGCCATGTTGCTTTTGCAAACAGAGAGGCAGAAAGTCCCATCTAACGCTCAACAGTCAAGGAAAAAAAACATTCAGAAAGAAATTAAGTAACACAAAACACAAAAACTATCTCAGTATTTTTTTTTCTCGTCCAGAAGTTCCATGAGAGTAAAAAATTTGATTGGGCTTAAACCCAGCCAGCCACTGGACTACGGGGTGCTGTTCGTAAATTTCAATATTGCTGTAAAATTTAGGCCATGTAATTTCACAAACAGCGGTCCATACAGGGGAACGGTTTCAGTTTCTTCGTGTTCATGTTAAAGTCCATCTTTTAAGTTGTTTTAAAATCATAAACAACTTTTTATTCGGTGAAAAAATAAAGTTGATCACACTTTTCAGTGTTTGAATGACTCTGAGATGTTATAATTTATTTCTAGTTATTACATTATGTTTATAACCATTTAAAAAAAAAGGAAGACTTCAGTTGCAACTACGTTGCTTGTAGAAGGGAGCTGACTAGTTCATTTAGATGAGCTGACACATTGGTCCGGCTCGGTTGTGACGACACATCCCAAATACCCTGGCGTTGGTTATTGCTGGAAGTGCCATTTGGAATCCTAGGATGTCCAAGGAAGGTCCCGCCTTCTCGCCTCTGATTGGCTGGAAGGGCTCCCCTACGATTGGTTATTTTATGTGAGAGGAAGATGTATTCCCTCGCTGCAGGTTTTTATGTGTACAGCCAGATCTTGGAGAGTTTTGAAGAAAATGTGAACTCATCGCTATAATAAATATCCTTTCCTGTTTAGCAACAAACCAGTTTCAGTTTCTTTCATTAAAGAACCTGAAAAACACCAAATGTGAACTTATAAATCTTGTTGCAGATTATAAATTCACATTTTACGTTTTTCAGTTTTCATGAAACAAAACAGGACAGAATGTTCATTATAATGCTAAGTTCACATTTTCTTTACTAAACTCCCCAAAACAGCTTTCTGCTGGTAGCAGGACAGCCGACACCACAAGCCTTTCTAGCCAATCAGAGGCGAGAAAGGCGGGATCTTCCTTGAACATCCTAGGATTCCAAATGACGCTTCCCGGAAGCACCTACTTTGTCATTGTTTATTCAAACTTAAAGCAATGCGAGTGTTTTATTTATGACAAATAAAACATTAAAACATGCCGTGCTATGTGTTGGGCGCGTTTTTAGCGGTTTTGTTCGCGCTGTGGTTCGTTCCGCGGAACTGGTCCCGGAAATCAGGGACCGATTCGTCTGTGGACCCTCCTGTGCGGCTCCTCAGCAGGCATGAGTTGTCTCTGTATGACGGAGAGGAAGGAAGCAGGGGCCTCTACCTGGCCATTCTAGGCCAGGTGTTTGATGTCCACAAGGGGCACAAGCATTATGGACCCGGTGGTGCTTATCACGTCATGGCAGGTGATGATCTAACTCTAAAAAAACACAGCTCTACTTTCTGAGCATAGCAAGTATTAAAAAAAACTGTGTTTTTATTTTCAGGCAAAGATGTCTCCTTGGCCTTCATCACTGGAGACTTCACGGAGAGTGGTCTAACAGATGATGTGTCCAGCCTGTCTCCTCTGCAGGTGGTGGCACTGTTTCAGTGGCTGGCCTTCTATCAGAGGGAATATTTATCTGTTGGTAAATGTCTTTTTATCTTATGCCATACACAGAGAAGTATTTTTTGTTTATTTCTACACACAGAGAAGTCACTTGGAAATGTTTTTGAAATTAGTCAATATTTAAAAAAAAAACTAAGTAATTTTGATGAGATTTCACTTTCCTGGAGCATCTTCTGCTGCTCTCACAGTCAATTCTGGTTGACTTGATGCACTGTTCAAACACTGCTGAGTTTATAGCAGCTGTTTGTTCACAGACTCCCCTCAGTCTGGTGTACTTTGTAAGAAAGGCTTTTTCAGAGCCAGTGTCATATGACCGCTACACCGATCAGGACTAAAAGTATAACGACCCTAACACACTTTCAAAACACACATCAGCAGAACTCTGTAAATGCTGCCAAATGTGCTTTCTTGAAATGAAAGCAAAGTTTGAACAAAACATTTTCCTGCAGTTTTCTGTTCGTACTAAAGTCATTTAGATAAATCTCTATTTAAGGGACGGCAGAAAAATGATTAAATGAATAAAACATTTGATTGAATTTCAGGGGTGTTAATCGGCCAATTCTATAATGAAAGTGGACAGCCCACAGAGGCGCTCCTGGAAGCTGAAGCATTATTGGCTGAAGGCCAGCAACTGAAGGCCTTATCTGAAAGCGAGAAGGTCCGCTTTCCCTCCTGCAACTCTGAATGGAGTGCTGACAGGGGTGCAAGAGTCTGGTGCTCCACTAAGAGGTAAAAGTTAGATTTCACTTTTTTTTTTGGTAGAAATTCATTTAAGGGAACATAAAGAATAATACTTTTCCAAAATCCTTGAACTAAACTAGCTACAAAGTGATTCCATGACTGCAATCCAGCATCTTTTAGTTTTGATGCAACACTTTTGTGTTGTCCTGCAGCGGCGGGGTGATCAGAGACTGGTCCGGTGTGCCACGAAAACTCTTCTCTCCATCTTCCGGTGGTATTCGATGTGTGTGCGTTAAAGATCTGCCTACAGCAGAGGAGGATCCAAACCTGCAGAAATATGATGGCTGCCCTGCAGACGCGGACTCGTGCTCTCTAGCAGAGCTCTAAACTGGACCGGTCCAAATCATTGACTGTTTACTTCTTTTTGCAGCAGAAGCTTGAAACAAACAAAACTTTTTATAATGAAGAATTAAATCCTTGGTTTTCGATGAGCTTTTAAGTAAAGTTGTCCCCCTTTCTCTAAAATACACCAGGAAGAGACACACTAGATATTTGAGCATACAGATACAATACAATGTGCATAAAAGATTAACAGAGGCAAGATTTAGGTTTGTCACAATGACAAGCACAAACTGCATTTGAGTACAAAACAGTTGTAGTGGTCAAAAATATCACATTTATCTGTACAATTTAACACTAGAGACCCCCACCGCACGGCCTTCCCTCCACTATGTCCACTGATCCAAAATGCCGGATGACCTCCATAAAGTCCACCTGTTTGGCTTAGAAATATAAGTGTTAGTGAGAAAACGTGAGGCGTCGCCGTAGAAACGGATCTCACCTGCAAAGCAGGTTTAAAAAAAGAAAAGAAAGAAAACAAATGCAGATTTGATCATAAAAGGCTACAAAGGTAATGGCATAAGGAGTTTCTGTAACCGAGGAGCACTGTTGGCAACATTTATGGTCATAATTTAACTTTGATCTGTCTGAAGTGTTCCCATCTGCCACGAAGATAATCAGGTGGTCAGCTGCGCCAAAAGTTCAGCTGTTATATATATATATAAACGATGTCACAGATCTTATTTGGAAAATACTCAAAACAGAATCCTCATTGAGGAAGCTTTCTGATCCCATTTTCCTTTGATAAGTGCCTGGTTTACAGCAACTTTTACTCAAACATAACAAATCAGTTTGTGTAGCTCGGATTTCTGTTTCCCTTTTGGAAGTTAGTGTGAATCACATGAATCATGAAGACAGAAAAGATGAACCCATCTACAGGTGATACCAGTGGAGCTTCCTGTATGTAATAATAACAATAACAGGAGCCAATCAGCACAAGCTTCATTGATCTGAAGACGCAAGGACAGTCAGGCGTCCAGAGCTGCTTACATCCGGAACACAAAACTTTGATCCCAACCGACAAACAGTTTCACTTTCTATCTGAAATGTCTCGAGAAGATTAATAGTTATTCATGGACTGGAATAGTATGAAGATGATGGTCCGTAGTATTTCCCTGCTTCTTGCATCCTTTCTCCACGGATTCCAAGTTGGACCGAGCCGGGCGGAAACAGGAGGGTGGGAAGAATGCCGGCCACAGCACTAGGACACTCCGCCCAGAGTTAGAACGTCGTAGCAGATTTCACACACTCTCACCGGTTTGTTCAAGTCAAACTTGATGATGGGCATCTCCTTTATGGAGCACTTGTGGCACAACAGGCGCCCACAGTGGCGGCTGCAGGTCAGTGCAGGAGGAGGGGGAGGAGGGTGAGGAAGGAGATCGTAGAGTTAGACACAATTTATGTAAGCTCCAGATTGACGAGGGGTAAATGAAAAGCTCACCAGTGATGTTTTCTTGTTGTAACACCAAACTTTGCAGCACATTCATAACAGTTGGACCCATCGCACCAGGGGGGCTCTTTGGACAGCATATCTGAATTATTGAGAAAATAGGTTTAAAAACTTACCCGAGGTCACACACACACACTACAGAGTCAGTCACCATGACAACGGACTGAACTAAACCCGCTCACTGGCAGGATTTCTGTAAAGAAACCAAGTTTCTACTGATTATTGAACATGTGTACGTATGAATTAGAATTATGTTTAATGAAAGTGTGAACCAGCCACAGATTTACAATTTACTGTAACAGCTTGTAAGATGTAAAGAAAACCAGGGTCTTCAATTTCTTTATTAGGCTTTTAAACAACATTTTTGACTGTGTAGAAATTTATCTGAGAAAAAATCTGAATATGATAATAGAAGTGGTCAATTCCAACTAACATCCCAACTCACACAGCCTCTCATCCCAACTCACACAGCCTCTCATGCTAGGTGCAAGAGGTGAGAATGCCATCCTGTGGATAAATGTGGGTACTGCGATCTATGTTTCAAAACAAAGTCTAGATGATCAGCAAAGACGAGTCATGTGCAGTAAGTTGATATTATAAATACATTTTACTGCGATCTCAAAAGCTGTTGGTAAATAAAAAAGCCGCTTGACAACATTTTAGAGCTGACAATTGGTGAGAGTTCAAGATGGCGCTCGCGCGGGTGCGAGCTGCTCATCTTCACGCAGTGGAACCTTGCATTTTATTGGCTTTTATGCACTTGTTGTTTCTGATGCTTTTTATGAATGGTGTGGCTTCTCTGGTAACTTATGATCGAGCTGCGCTGCTGAGGCTTCATCCTGGTGATGTAGCGGGCGCTGCGCACTGGGAACCTCACGGATGTGTTGTTTGGACTGCCCGTGTGCTCTCTCCCCCCCGGCCGTGATGTGTCGGCCTTCTGTCCGCCCCAGCTCGAGAAGGAAACATCGCAGAAGATGGGGAAAGCAAGGTAGCCGGCGCGTGAGACGTCGGGCTGGACTTCCTGGATCCCTGAAGAAGCGGCTGGTCCGATTCGGCCCAGCTTGTGACCCGGTGGCTCAGAGACGTCTGATGGATTACTCTGCGCCCTGCCTTGTGAACTTGGCCGGCTCTGAGGGTGAGCTGGCACTGCGCCACGGCCATTCGGCTTGAGGACCTCGCCAGAAAGGGGTTTGCTGGGAGAATCTGCGCTCGGTTACGGGCTCTAAGCTGGAGGAGGTGGTGCCTGTGCGCGATCCCGGTACTGCGGCCCCGCTACAGACCCGGTTTGGTCTGGTCAATGCCAGGTCTGTGCAGAACAAAACTTTTATTCTTCAGGATTTTTTTTAATTCAACATGACTTGAGTTTTCTGTGCATCTGTGAGTCATGGATCCCGTTTGGTGACTCAAGCGCCCTGCTGGAGCTGGTACCACGTGGCTGCTCCTGTTTTAATATCCCCAGATCGCAGGGCAGAGGTGGTGGGCTGGTTGTCGTTTTTAAATCCAGCTTTCCTTGTAAACAGCTTACACCCACCATGTCATTTTCTTCCTTTGAACTGTGCATCTCCCCCCGCCTGCTCGTCGTGCTGATTTATCGCCCTCCAAAGACTGACTCTAACTTCCTAAATGATTTCTGCGCTCTTGTGGCAGACTGTATCCTAAAATATGACTATGTCCTATTTCTTGGTGATTTTAACATCCATATCTGCGGTCCTGACAACGTGCTTGCTGAAGGCTTTTTGAATTTGCTAGATTCAATTTAACTCAATGGGTATCGTCCCCAACTCATGCCAGGGGTCACACCCTGGACCTGGTTCTCTCTTCTGGTCTACCCGTCATGAACCTTGTGACTTTGCCTCCTGTGTTCTCTGACCACTCTCCTATACTCTGTGATGTTACGTTGCCATGTCCTGTCCCTGTGTGTGAAGCTCCAGCTACTAGGTTCAGAGCCCTGGATGCAGAAACTGTTGCAAAGTTTGTGGACTGTATAGCCCCATTCCCATCTGTACCGGGTCGGCCCGGGCCGGGCAGCGTAGGTTGTTTACATATCTGGGTGGCCTGGTATTTTTCCGGGCCAACCAAGGCTCATTCTCAGCCCTCTTGAGGGGGTCTGCTTCAGGCCGACCAGGGCCAACACACCCACTGCTGACAGCAAATTCACACCTTCCATTAGAGCAAGCCTCTGATTGGTGGGTAGAATCAGCCCACATGGGCTTAAGGCGTGCTCAATTCATTATCATTCATTATCATGCTGATTACCCAGAAGCTGAAAGTGTCTCTGACTGCATTCCTTGCATACCTAAGCAAGGATGTGTGGAAACAACCGGGCCAGGCTGGGGCCGACTGGGCCAACCCGGTACAGATGGGAATGGCCCTTATGTCTGTAAGGTTAGAGACCTTTAACCCAGATCCATCTAACATTGATCACTATTCACAACACTTTGATGTACTTTGTAATCAGGTCCTGGACGTGGTTGCCACTCTCAAGCTTTGCAAGTCTCGGCCTAGGAGGGAGCCTTGGCTCTCTGATGTCACACGGGCTTGCAGGCGAGCATGTAGAGCCTCTGAGAGAAAGTGGAAAAAGGATGGCCTACAGGTCTCGCGTGAGTTGTTCAGAGCATCTCTGGTTGCTTATCAGGATGCAGTGAGGGCTGCCAGAACGGCATATTTTGCAGACATCATCAAAACAAACTCCAAGAATCCCAAGATTCTCTACAAAACACTGAACTCTGTTCTGGTGTATCAGGAGCCTAGCTCCATGTCTCCTACAGCTGCTGGAAACTCTGAAGATTTTCACAGATACTTTGTTTATAAAGTATCGGGCATTAGAGCAGCTATTTCTGGTAACTCTGTTGACCCGGTTCCAGTTCCTCCATCACCACCCACCCTGAGCTCCCTCAATACAGTTTCATACTCCGAGCTGAATAAGCTTGTTGCGAGGCAGAAGCCATCTGGCTCTTCACTTGACGTTCTGCCGCCTCGCCTCTGGAAGGCTGCCTTTCCGTGCCTTGGCCCTTCACTTGGTCGGATTATCAATGGGAGCCTCAGCAAAGGTGTTGTCCCAGCTGCTTTGAAAGCAGCAGTTATTCGGCCGACCCTGAAGAAACCTGGTGCTGATGTCACTGTGATCGCAAATTACAGGCCTATCTCTACCATGCCTTTTACATCAAAACTGCTTGAGAAAGTCGTTTATCAGCAGCTGGTCTCACATTTAGCGGACTCTGATCTGTTTGAGGTTTTCCAATCAGGGTTCAGGTCTGGCGATAGCACAGAGTCTGCTCTACTGAGGGTCTTAAATGATATCCATCTATCACTAGATCAGGGTACATCTGTGGTGCTTCTGTTGTTAGACCTGACAGCAGCTTTTAACACAGTTGACCACGAGATTCTGCTTGATGCTTGGAACGATGGGTTAGGATCAAAGGGTCTGCTCTGGATTGGTTTAGATCCTATCTCCACAACAGGACATTCTGCGTTAAACTGGGTGATGTTTTTTCTTCTTGGGAGGGGCTCTGCTGGGGGGTCCCGCTGGGGGGTCCCGCAGGGGTCGATCCTTGCTTGGTCCTCTTTTGTTTGCCATTTATCTGCTTCCTCTGGGGTCAATCTTTCGTAAACATGGCCTATCATTCCATCTCTATGCTGACGATTGCCAGATTTACTCTCCATTGTGTCAGGAGAAAGGTCACTCTATCCAGTCCTTTGTGTCCTGTATTAATGAGGTGAAGTCTTGGCTAATAGCCAACTATCTGCATCTGAATGAGGGAAAGACAGAGCTCTTTGTTTTTCACCCCAATAGCAGGGCTGTGGGTCATTATCAATCAATCAATCAAAGCTTTATTTATATAGCGCCTTCCGCAACCCTGTCAGGAAGCCCAAAGCGCTGATTATATTATGATGATCTTGGTCCCCTTTCTCCCTACTCAAAACCAGTTGTCACCAGTTTGGGAGTGAAAATTGACGCTGGATTTAAATTTGATGCTCACATCAACTCTGTGATCCGATCCAGTTTCTTTCACCCGAGACGCCTTGCAAAAATCGAGCCTATGCTGTCAAGAGCCCACCTGGAGCGGGTACTCCATGCTTTTGTAATTTTTAGGCTTGATTACTGCAACTCTCTATATGCAGGCCTGGGTCAATCATCACTGCGTCGCCTACAGGTTGTGCAGAACAGCGCAGCCAGGTTTCTGACTGGGACCAGGAAACGGGATCACATCAGTCCGGTTCTGGCCTCCCTGCGCTGGCTTCCGGTTTGTTATCGTTCACACTTTAAACTCCTCGTCTTTAGGGTTGTCACGTTACTAAAATTTCAAACTCGATTCGATACTGGGGAAAAAAAAACTCTATGCTCGATTTCGATACGATTTAAAAATACCCATTTATTGAACAAGTTTATTCAAAAAATAACATTCCTCAATTTATATTGCAAAAATTAAATGTTAAGAATTAAGTGTATTAAGTGCTTAAACCTTTCAAGTATCAGCATTTTTTAAAACGTGCATACAAAAACTGGTGAAAGTTAACACTTTAATCATGAATTGTCTCACTATATATACACTATTTGCAGAGTGATGTTTTGCTGCTTAAACTCTGTTTAAGGTGCATTTTTGTCATAAGATGTAATGCCATATGTTTTGTTCTGAACTTTTGAACAACTCTGTTGGTCAATAAAGGGAGAAAATGAATTTCTCCACAGTAGGACAAAGGTACATCTACCGGTAATCTTAATAAAAACAGATTGGCGCACGGCAGTGACGTCATCAAAAGCGCCGGTTAGATTAGCCGCGGCTAGTCTGTTCACGCCTAGAAATCCCAGACCCGCTCCAAACGAACAGGGGAATCACGTTAATGATTCCTAACAAAACCTTTCGACATTGAGATGTTTTGGTGCAGATAATGTCTTATTTCGAGGCTGCACCATGGGTGTCTGTCCGCACCCGTTATATGGATATACACTGACGGCGATTCGCCGATGGATCTAAATACCCCGGGGAATCCAAGTAGCACCAAAGTTGTCAGCGTGAGTAAACAAACGTACTGCATGCTAGAAATTAAGTCCGGGTTGCAATAAACGGGAGTTTTCCTTTAAGCATATAAGCGTGAATATACAACTACGTGTCAGACTTGGTATGCTAATTCAGTTGGGCTGTGAAGCGCCTCCCAAATTCGCTGTTTATGTTTTTGTTTATTTATTTGGCAGACAAAACTTGGATCGGAGACAACTCGCGTGGGAAATTGTAATGTAGCCATGCGGCGTCTTCTTCTTCTGTTTGTCTGGGAGGCGGAGGCTGCTTTACGGCATCTGGCTGTCGTGCGTGTCGGTGTACTTGAAGAAGGCCGTGTATAATAGTCCATAATATCGATACCACAGGGATGGAATATCCCATTTAGATACCACTTTTAGCATCGATTTACATCTAGGTATCGATTTTTTTGACAACACTACTCGTCTTTCTTTACAATTTCTTCCAGGGTAGTGCTCCCCCCTATCTGGCCACGCTCCTGAACAGACATTCCCCATCACGCGCTCTGCGCTCCTCTGACCAAGGCCTGCTCGCCATCCCTCGTTCTAGGTGTCGTACTCGCGGGGACCGGGCTTTCTCAGTCCTAGCCCAGTCACTCTGGAACCAGTTGCCACCCTCAGTTAGACTATCCCCATCTCTGCCAGTCTTTAAGAATCGCCTAAAAACCCACCTCCTCCGCTTGGCGTTCCCTGAATGTGTTTGAATTTGGCCTTTATTTATGTTGATTTAAATTCCCTGCTTTCATCGGTCTCTATCTCTTGTTTTACCCATTTGTTTCCTACTTTAATGTTTTCACCTGTTTCTCTCATGTACCGTGTTCAACGCCTTGATTGACAATTTTTTTTTCTAATTCACTGTTAGCATTTTTAGTTTAATGTTAGCCATTAGCTTTCAAAAAGACGCAGTGGCCGATTGGGGGTAACAGAAATAACTTCTGGGTCGCTTCCGCTTAGTGGCTGAAATTCTTCCCACAATGCTCCTACTTTTGTCCGGCTGGTGACAAACTACAAATGCCAGCATAGACTTGGCAACCTTGCAGGCTCACATATAACTGGCTCTAGAGCCAGGAAGTAAGGAGGCAGGAAAGATTGTAAACACTACGTACAAGTAGAATTCTTACTTATTGCACTTTTAACACACAACCATAATCTGATGGTTAACCTACCTAGAAGGCGGAAGAGCAGCTGTTTGGTTGCTACTTGATAGTTGAAGATGTTGACGCCCTGATTATTAGTGGTGCCCAGTGGAGCCCCGGCTCTCACGATGGCGCGGCACAGGTTTGCGTTTCCTTTCATATAAGCCAGGAGCAACACTGCAGCAACACAGAGACCACAGCCAGGCCTTTATCTCATCATCATCAACACACCACGAGCACCAAAACAAATAAAGGTACCAGAGTTCCCGTCGTTGTCTGGTTTGTCCAGTGGGTACTCAGGCATGCACTCCAGGAACAACTCAAAGATGGCGGCTGCGTTCTCTTTGCCATACTGGCCTAGTATGTGCATTGGTGACTGACCCCTGATGAATGAAACAAACTGACATTTAACTTTTCGGGTGTTTATATGGCACGGTACAGTTCCTTCACCTGAACAAACCTGAGATTGAAGGCTTCGGCATCAATGTTGGACTCTGTGAGAAGAGTTCTGACATTGTTAAGGCGGCCCTGCATCACAGCCAGATGCAGAGCTAAGGAGACGAGAGGAGAAAAGAGCGATAAAAGGATGAATATATGATGCTCATCTGATAAACTCATTTAGAACCAATTTCATTTCTTAAGCTGTCCCGTTTGTCCCTTATTGTCATTTTCAAACTGAATTACAAGTTAAACATGTTAAAAAATGGAAAACCACTAGCAGGAGTCAAGGAATTGGACGTTTTCTGCAATATTTTATAGGAATAAATGCTGCAGTGTCATTTACCAACATCGATAATAACCAAGCTCCATTTGGTGACATGCCCCTCAGTCATTAGATCATCATAAATCCACTCAAACAGCAGAAACAAAGTTATGGAAGGTGCTTAAAACCTTTGTTACAGAGCGAGAAAATAAAAGGAAAAATACATAAATTAGAGTAAAAACTGTAAACGAGTTGAAGTCTGCACAACGTTTACCGCTTCATTACAAGACCTGAGGGTGGGAGCGAAGAGTAGCAAATCTTTAATGGTGGATTTATTATTTATTACATTTATTTTTCTTTCCAGAACAAAAGTCCTCTCAAGTCAAAGTGGTTTGGTTGTAACTCAACACTTGCCTCATTGATCATGCAGAGATGCATGAGTATGCAAAACAGCTCTCCCTCTCCTGGTGCAGCTGCTCTTTTTCCCTCTTTACTCTCCATTAGACAGAAGGCAGTTTTATTAAAGAAACGCTCTAAACAGATCATTTTTAGTCTACAGAACTGATCTTTAGATTTGTGGGAGTTGTGATAAAACAGAAGATTTAAACCAGTGACTGTTTTTCCAGTGTGCAGCAGCAAGAGCTAAGGGCTAACAGGCTAACTGATGATGAAAGAAGCTTCTAACTTTACTTCAGTTCCTTCAGAAAACAAACATTTTAGTGACGTACCATTATTTCCATTCTCATCCTCAGCAGCAAAATCGATCCCATTCTCCAACAACACAGAACAAATGGTGGCCAGATCCTGCTGGGCAGCCAGATGCAGCGCCGTCTGCCTGTGTTTGGTTACCTCGTTCACCTTGGCTCCGGCGAGCAGCTGGATTAGGAAAATGCAGAAATAAAAAACCTAAATGACGAAGCATCCCATGAGACAATCCTCTGGAAACATCCGGGGTTCCTACCAGGTTGCGGACGATGATTTCAGAGCCGGCCTGCACGGCCAGGTGGAGAGGGCTGAGTTTGGCTGAATCCTGAACCCTGGAGTTGACATTAGCCTGGACACTGATGAGGAACAAAACGCTTTCGATGTCTGAGTTTTGAACAGCCACGTGGAGGAAATTCCGTCCTTTGTTGTCCACCTGAAGAGAAACAAAAGTTTGAGGCTATTGCCGTCACCTCTCTAGCCTCTGGTCGATGCTGTAAAGCCTGTGCATCGTTTCTGTGTCACCTGTTCTGCAGCACCTGGCTCCCTCTTGAGGATAGCTTCTGCAGCTTTATTGTTTTTGTGCGTCATGGCACAGGCAAACGGTGTCATTCCTTGGCGATCGCGGATGTTGAGCCGAATGTCCGGATGTGAAATGAGGAGCTGTATGATTACGTTGTGCTGGTTGCTAATGGCAGCATGGATAGGAGCTCTGCCCTCTGCATCCTGACAACAAAACAAAACAAAAAAAGAAGTGAAACTGTAGAAAAACACAGCAGGGCTTTTGCTCATCCACAGGATGATTCACTACAGAAAACACCAACCTGGGCATTAACGTCGGCTGCAAACTCTAGAAGGCACTGCACCACCTCCTCCAGCCCCCAGCTGCTCGCCAGGTGGAGGGGGGTCTGACCATCTCGGGCTTCTTCATCTCCTTCCCCATTAGGACCCGGCCGTCTGGTGCTGTTCACCTCACAACCGCTGCACACACGATACCAGCTTGTTATTAGAAGCTCTAAGATGAGGATAGACCAGCTGACATCAAACAAACAGACTTTAGTTTGTCTAAAACCATAATACTACACATTTAGCGACTCACATGGATTTAAACAACCAGCAACAGGTTTGTTTTTATACAAACAAGCTCAGACCTGCGAATGAGGAAGCAAGCAGAAACCTCGTTATTCTCATCAATAGCTCGATGCAGGAGGGTCTGTATGCAGCCAGACGGCCCCGCGCTCCAACAGGTGGCATCGCATCCATGTCGGACCTGGTGGGAACAGAACAGAACGCAGTCAAAACAAACTTTACTGGCTTCAAATCTAAAGAAGCAAAAACATATTAAATTAGGTCTCAGAGAGGGAAAAAAAAAAAAAAACACCGAAGGACAAATGCATGTAAAAAGTTCCCAAATAAAACTTATTTCTCTCACCAGTGTGGATGCAATATCTTCCAGGCCGCTCTCGAGGGCCAGCCACAATGGAGGGTCTCCTTTGTCGTCCATCACAGACATATCAGCCCCTCTTGTGCAAATGGCGTCCACAACCAGAGGCAACTGGTTACTGATGGCCAACTGTAGTGGAGTTTGTCCCTCCTGGGTTCTGATAGCATGAAAAAAAAAAACACATCTAAGCTTCTGAGGTCTATTGAAGATGGCCAAACTACAAACAGCTCTGTGAGAAGCCGACAGGAACAAACATCTACCTGATTATTAGAATCTTCTGACATATTTAAGATCTTTCCCTGTTTGGATTTGGATCAAACATCAGGAAGGGAAGATGGGTGATTGAGTTCTTACCTGACATTGATGTCCGCCTGATGTTCCAGAAGGAAAAGGGCACTCTTGCTATCCTGTCTCTGGATGGCCATGTGAAGAAGGGTTTGTCCGTTGGACATGGTGTCGTTGATGGAAGCCCCGGAGCCCAGCAGCTGAGCTGCTATGGTGTGCATTCCTGCCAGGGACAGATTAGCCTTCATGATAAAAGACAAAAAAAAACACATCTACTCATGATGGTACTGAAGTGTACCTGTCCACAGCGCCAAGCCCAGGACCGTCTGGTCCACGGAGTCTTTCAGACTGAAGTCTGGGATGATCTGCAGGTTGTTGATGGCGTGAAGTGCGTTGGCTGAAAGAAAAAAGTGGCTCATTTTCAGAATCTTCTGGTACATTTAGAATGAAACGCGTCATTACAAATGACTCAGCACAGACGTGAAGTTTTCTAAAGCCGCCAAAACATTAGCCGACCTTTTTGCTCCAGGATGACAGAGACGACATCTGGGTGGTTGTGAGCGATGGCCATGTGTAGGGGAGTCTGCAGAGCCACACCGTGGGAGTTTTCAGGCACGGCCTTCTGGGTCTGCAGGTTGGGATTGGCCCCTTGCTGGAGCAGCTCGGCTGTCAGGCAGGCGAGGCCACATCGACAGGCCGTGTGAAGCGGACTCTCACCCTGCAGGGCCGCAGAACTTTCTTAAAGCAACAGTTCAGACTTTATCTTAAGCTGCAGCTCTTTTGAGGTTCGTACATACCCATTTGTTCACATGGTTGACCTTTGCCCTGTGAGTTGCTAAGAAAAGAGCAGCTGCCTCGTTGCCAGCCAGAGCTGCTCTTTGCATGAGGCAGTTTCCTGTCATGGTGAAAGGAGATGAAGATGTAAATGTGTTTAGGGTGAGGGGCAAGTGCGGGGGGGGGGTCAAGTCAACAGCACCTGTGGCATGGTCAGGGGAGTCCGGATTACTTCCCCTCTTAATAAGCTGTGCAGCTAAGCCGTTCTCATCAAACGAGGTGCCGTTCACCACCGGTGTGTCGTCTTCGAACGGGTTTACCGAGGCGTCCGACGACATGGTGATGTGCTGCAGAGCCAGCCACAGAGCGGTGCTGCCCTCGTGGTCTTTCAGTTCCAGATCAATCCTGCCAGGATGGATGGGTAAAGCTATGACTCAGCAGAACAGCATTAATGAGTCAAACTAAGTGATTTGTTTTAGAAGACAACCAGAACTCACTGTTTGCATTGCAGAAGCTGGTTAAACACCGCCTCGTTCCCCGACGCCACGGCTTCATGCAGCGGGGTTCTAAAAGTAACAGAAGACACAACTGACGCACCCTCACGTGCTGCACAGTCGTCAACCCCAGGTCATGTGACTTACCTGCCCCTGCTGTTCTGCATGTTAGGGTTGGCTCCAGCTTTGAGCAGCGCCTCGGCGATTCGCGCCATGCTGCTCATCACCTCTACAGAGTGTTTTTTGGGGCTGAAGGAGCAGACCAGGTGAAGCGGGGTTTCCACCACCCCCACAGTGGCGGCATTCACCTGAGCGGAATGGCGGATGAGGAAGATGGAGGCAAATTCATCACCTGGGGGAGATAACAGAGACTGCGTAATTTCCCTGCTAAATTTCATCATCTTGATACAGAATCAGGTGTCCTCACCTCTTTGGATGGCCTTGTGTAGGAGGCTCCAGCCGCTCTGGTCCACCATGTCTACATCAGCCTTGTTGTTGACCAGAGTGGTGGCGATGCCCTCCAGTTTGCGGCAGAGAGCCAGGTCCAGTGCGAGATCACCGTTGTTGTCCAGTTCGTTTAGCTTGCCTGGTAGCTAGAAAGGCAACACACACAGGATGTAAATCTTTGTAAATGACAAACCTTTTTTCTACAGTTCTGTTCCAAGCAGCAGAGGGACGGGAAAGAACCTGCCTGAGAATCCATTTCAATGAGGTACAAGAAGACCACATCTTCACGCTCGACTTTGATGGCTTTGTGGAGAGGAAACTCCGTTTTAGATTTTATCATCTTGTACAGAAGCTGGGCACTCATGGTACTAAAATCTTCTTTCCGTAGATCATCCTAATGAAAGGTGGATATTAGAGAGCAAGACTGATGTCAGAGACAAACGTGTGGAGAGAAATTAAAATTGAAAATAAAACATGAGGGGAATAAAAGCACATATTTGGCAAAAATATCAGATTCTATAACTCTGAGGATCAAATTCTGTATGAAGGTGTGGATCTACAGCGGTCTCTAGTAGAAATGAATGCCTTGTAAGTCGTACTCGGAAACGCATGAATCAGCATGGAGGAGTCATCTGTAGCAGAAAGTGGACGAAAATGGCAGATTTGGAGACTCGTTTCCTGATATTGGGACATCTCACCTCTGATTGGATAACAGCAACATAACTCTACCACTGACTGTTTGCTCTGCAACGTTGATGTTTTATCTCCATGAATAACTCAAGCCTGGAAGAGTTCTGTTGAGCGGTAGGGTTGCTAATGCTAACGGTTAGCTTCTACTAGTCGAGACGTTCTCTGCCGTTCCCTGGATGCTAAACCAACAACAACCTTCCCCGGTGCGAGTCAAGATGGGTGAGTCCATGGATGTGACATAGGTCTGTCAGGATTTTCTAATCCTAGAGTTTCACCGTTTATTTTTTAATCAGAAGCTAATGCAGGAAATAGGTGCAGGAGACCATTTTCATGTTCAGCCTGCATGAAAAACTCAGAGTGACTGATTGTAATCAGAAGTAATAATTAAATAATGCTTTTTCAGTGTTCCACACCTTTAAAGGAGATTTGGGTTTCCCTTAGGCATTCTTAAAGAGCAAGTCAACCCCTACCAGAGTATTACTCCACTCCCACTTACTGTTTGAAAAATGCAACAAATGCTGTTGCCTAGCAGACCGAGAGGGCGGAGCCGCTAACAAATACAAACACACTGGGCTTGTTCGAGATGAGCCAGTTCTGCGCAGATTCGATCACCGGTGATCGGCGCACAGTGCATGCCGGTTAGAGTCCGACTTGAAGCCGGCTTGCTCTGACATCATGCATACGTAGCAGGGTTTCCCCCAGCGCTTCATAAGCCTGGCGGGCCGCCAGGCTTTGCTTGCCCACCCGCCAGACTAAGCGTCATGCCCCGCCTCGCCCCCCTCCCCGACCCTACCGCGTCCGATGACAAACTGTGCAGCGAAACTAGAGCCCTCCATCAGCTGATACTGGTGAGAAACAGCAAAGGAACGAGTGCAACCCCCACCCCCATCCCCGCTTTCACAGAGGAGCGCTGAAATGTGATTTGTGTTCTTTTGTCACGCTTCCTGCACACTAAACCTACAGCTGATAACCTTTACTTATTATTACAGTCATATCTTCATATACAATATATGATATCCACAAGCAGGTGAGGATGTTTCGGTTGCTAACAGGCACCAGAATTAAAATAAATAAACAAGTATGAACGCTAACGCGATATCTTCATCCATCGTCACTCGCGAGCTACACATGTAGGGAAATCTGTCCGAATTAAACGCCAGCTTTCAGCCACTCCCCCTGCTGCGTCCGTCTGCTCTGCCACAGGCTCACAACGACATTGTGACATCATATGGTACCAGCTAACCTCTTAGATACCTCTTAGCCAATAGCGATGGCAGATTTTAATTCAAATGTAGTGCAGAGTTTTTACCTGACAACGGCACAACAGTAACAGTTTTAGGCAGAAAATTAAAATTTTAACTAAAATGCACTAAAGTGCTAAACTATCGACTACACATGTGTAACGTGATGAAGGAGATGTTCCACCGAAGGTCATTTACCCTCTCTCTCTCCTCAGGAAGAACTAATCTGCATGAGACTGCCTCAAGGTCATGCATTTGCTTCTGAACTGTTTCTTCCTTTCCAGCTCAAGAGAAGAATGAAGACAAAGGACTCTTATTTAATAAATCAGAAGAACTCTATTTTTAATAAGCTAATCAAACAAAGCGTTAGTCCAGTAATAAAATGTGAACCAATCTGTGAAATGACAATGTTATGATCTAGCTTTACTAGACATTCTCATCCATGTAATGCTTAAAGTCACATGACACATTTCCTTTTTCTGATCCAATCAGAACCTTCCAGATCTGATGCGAGGCGTGGTTTTGTTGGTGCTTGGTAAATCTGTCCTTTTCTGATTCGACAGTAAATCAAAACATCCAAATTATAAAACTATGCCCGCATCATCTTAACTGGAGTTCAAAGCGTTCTAGAGAAGTTATCGGAGTGGCCAATCCGTAACTTTCCTCTTCAGCCGAAAGAACCTAACGACAAGCTGGATTAAATCTGTTGCATGTTCCACCTGCTGCAACGGTTCCTTTCAGAATAAAAGCTGAACCGTCATGACCCCTTTTTGGGTCTCGCTAGATGCCAATAAAACTGTCGTGACCCGGAAGTATCTCAAGACTGGTCTGGTCGGCAGCCGCTGCTTTTCCTACCGGCTTCGGTTCCAGAGAAGGTCAAGCTGGACCTCGACATTCCTGATCTAGCGGCGACTTCCGCAAAGGGTACGTAGGCCGGCAGAATGGCATCTCAAGGTGTTAGAAATCTCCAAACCAAAGCTTAGTGCGAAACATCATCTCCACTCCCATCAGAACTAATCGTTTCTCCGGATTTGCTGGTTCTGAACATATTTCACGCTACGCCATCCTCAGTCTTACTTCACCTTAGTTACATCATACATTTAGTGTTTAAAGTTAGTCTAGTTTTAATTTGTTTAGTAATAAATCTTTAAACTTTTAAAACCTGACTCTCTTTTTGAGTTAATACGAAGTTGTTACATAATCCCTGCAATCAAAGTTCCAATCTTCTGGTTTAAATTATCCACAGATCCTTAAGATTGATTTCATATTTCCTATGGAATCTCACATCTTATGGTTCATTAAATAATATGTAAATTTAATCGTTACACTTGTCTGCAGCACGATTAGACACGCATTTATATAGTTTATCAGAAAATAAAATGTTGATTTGGGGTGACTTGCTCTTTAATGTGTGTAATGTATGAAAGTGAGCTCATCGTGGCTTTCAGCTGTCATCAATAAACTTTATTCAGTCTACTCTAGACAGGATTTGAGACGGCTGAAAAAACAAAACTGCAAAGTTTCTACAACTAATAGCAGAAACTAAACTGTTCGGTCTCTCTTTCCCTTTCTTCACACTTTTAAATCACAATTTTTTACTTCTCTCAATTTTATAATAATTTTTCATCTTTTTATTTTTAATTCTTGTGAAGCACCTTGTGATTTTTAACTCGAGAGGCACGCTATAAAAGATTGTGTCTTCATCTTAAGGTAAGGTGTTGTGTCCTCCTCACCCAGTGGCTGGCTATGATCTCCCCACAGTAATTCATCAGGGTGGTGGCGTTCAGCTCCTCGGCTGTTTGGTAGAAACAAATGCAGTTCCTAACATTCACCGATGACATCACTCCCTTTTCACACCTGTTTCAGCACAAGAAGCGAGGCATTTGCAGGGATTCAAGCCACACTGGATGAGTGCTCAATTAATGAGGGTGGCCGTGACTTTTTCTGACCTCTCTCTGAGCAGCTGAAGCTGGAAGCGGTTGGCCAGCTTCATCAAGTCAATAAGAAAGGCGTCATCTTCGCTGAGCTCCAAGTCATCCGTGTACGCCCAGCGCAGCATGGCCATGGCAACCTCAGGTTTGCAATCTGACAACCAATAAATGATAGATAATTACAAGCCTGATGGTAACGTGTAATTATCAGGGTATCTGCAGGTTTAAGTGAGCCGAATTTAAGACTTTTTAAGACCTTTTTAAGGCCACTTTGACCAAATTTAAACTATTTTTTTTAATTAAATTTAAGCTATAATTTCCAGCTATCGCCTGGAACCGGTGCTAACCACACCGCAAACGTGGGATTACCCACCCAATTACCATTAAACTTGCACTTCCCCATGGCACAAGCTACCACTAGCTTAACCAGCTAATGTGCTCATCTAAAAATAGCCCTCTTTCACAACCAACTGAATGTGTACGGTTCCGCTTACGCCAACATCATACAAAAAAATGCTGAAGACTAACTAGAAATTCTTGTTCATTGGGTCTTTGGTAATTTAAGACCTTTGGAAACTGTATTTAAGGATTATTTGTAATTTTTAAGGATTTTTAATGCCCTAAATTTAGAAAAGCAAATTTAAAACTTTTTAAGACTTTTTAAGGACCCGCGGATACCCTGAATTATTGTAACCAGATACGAATGAGAACAAGGGAAAATCATCCTAAAGCAAATCGGACTCAGATTTAGAACCTTGACAGACCCCAAAATAAATATTCTGACATTTATTAACCAAGAGGAGCGTTGGCGAGGGAGGACCAACAGAACAATCATGGCTGAACTTAAGTAGCTGTTTAGCAGCATTTTAAAGCTGCAACAAATGCATGTTTTATTTACACGTCTACAAAAGTCTGACAAAATTTCAAATACAGAATAAACCTAAAAGGAGGCAAATACTTTTTACAACATGATCCTTAAAAACAAAAAAAAAAAAAAAACAAGTTACTCACCTGTTAGGTCCAGTTCAGAGGTTGAGACCATGTTTGCTAGACTCCAGACATCACTACGTGCAGCCAGCACAAACTTATGGGCACAATACTGCACCCCTGCAACTTTAACTTTCAGATCACTGGAAAAACAACATTTATTTGCTATTTATGTTATTTATAGATAAAAACACACCAATCGCTCACCTCCTTTAAGCTCTTCTATCAACGGCAGATTGTAAAAGCTATCACCAACTACTTCAACCATGACCTCACCTGTAGTGCTCTTGCTGGTATAAGTTGGCCACAAAGTCCAGCAGACGGCTAATGAAGCTTTCAGGAGCTGCAGAGCTGGAACAGCCCTGGGTGGACGTCTGAGCAGCGAGCACGGCACAGCGCCTCTCAGTCTCGACCAGCTTCTGCTGCATCTTCACATACTCCTGCCTCAGCAGAGCCAGGTGCTTCTGCAGCTTGGCCACCTCCTCTGTCCCCATCCAAGGTAAACGAACCAAACACAAAACAAGAGACAGAAAGTAGGTTAGAATACCTGGCTTCTCGCGACTCGAAGGTCCCAATAAGTACATAGTCTGATGAAGAGTGGGCCAAACATACAGTTATGAAACGTTTTAAATATGCGGCTTTGGTAACTTTAACCAGTTGACTTCACAAATATGATACAGGTGACAGCTGTGACATTATGAGAAAGAAATTAGAATAAATTGAAAAGACAGGATTTGTAAACTGGACAAAATCTGAAGTTTTCAAGAATCCAAATGCAAACGGTAAAATCTGACTCACTCTGGTGAGCATATTATTTCTCTGCTGTTACAAAACTCATTTCCTTCTTGAACAAGAGTCTGCAGATCCTCCCCGAGGCCCACTTCCTTCCTTTAAGCCAGTAAAAGTTTTAGTGAGGCAAGAGTGCTGAGGTAGCATGTTAGTGTGCTCCATCATAAACCGTCACTGGCAGAGCTTCTGGTCATGAGGAAAAGAAAAGGGTGCTTCTGAAAACCACCTGACTAACAGCTCTTTCAGCAGCAGTGTTCTTCTAAAGGAAGAAATGTAAAATATACTAAAAATAAGGGGGGGAAAGGAAAAGAAATAACAATGCAATCTACAATCAAATCTGAACCAAACCGCCTAAATTCACTTTTTAACACAAGTTTGGTCTTTACCATGTATTATTTAGTCATAGATGGTGCATCATTTAAAAAGCGGTGTGCAAATTTAACATCACAGACTGGATCTCCAGACTTAAGACGCTGCCCACAAACATGACACTCCAGCCAAAAGGTGCATTTGATGCCAGATGATTATAACCTCTAACAAATATCTAAACAGGTTTTTTTTTACAGCGTTCCAAAATAAACCCGTTAACGCCACCTGAATCCATCCATCATTACTGATGCCAGGCATGACGTTGGCTTTTAGCTACTAACAGCAACATTACATGTCCATTTCACACAAAAGCGTGAGGTTTCTACCGAGTATCAGGGCACCAGGCTCACTGGTGATATGTCATATATTTTTTAAACTAAGTGACATTTTCAGCCCAGTTCTACCAACTCTTATCAGCTGAATTCGACTGGCAACATCAACGAGAGCTAACGAACGGAAGCTTGTGACAAGAATAATATCGCGATGCTTCGTAATATTAACCCCCCAGTGGCTACACACACACATCACTGAACTGATAAGGCGTTGGCTGCTCGCAGTCAACATTCGAAGAAATCCCGCAGAATTAAAAGGACGCATAAAAAAACAGTGAGACACACAAAATCTCTTACCTTCCGCCATGTTTGCTCAACGATCGCTCCGTGGCCCTGGTGGTGATTATCGCGATATGATGAAGCGGCTCGTGGGTGGGCGGTGAAGGTGCGTTCAAGGGCCTCACAGAAAAGTTGGCTAAAGAAGATGATCACGCGACGTTGTGCTTCTGAACGCTTTTCATACATTTTTACATCATTAGAACACATACTCATTTAGAAAGCAATTTAGGTTGTAGGAACTCTGAATAAAAATGATCTCAAGGTTAGAGTAAAAAATAAAAAGGGGAGTTTATGCTACCACCTGCAAACCTTTGACTGGAGCACTTTACAAAACACCCATAAACTTTTCAAAACATCCTCTAACTTTAAACAACATACATTTTACAACCCCCCCCCAAACTTAAACAAAACATTTATACGGTTTACAAAACACCCAACATCACAAAACAAGCTTAAACTTTACAAAACATTAACTTTACAAAGCATCCATAAACTTTATAAAACACCCCAATAAGCACTGCAAAACAGGCTTAAACTTTACAAAACATTAACTTCACAAAGCATCCATAAACTTTATAAAACCTTTACATTTACAACCTTGACATCTATTAGAGCCTTTAAATCTAATCTTTGCGCCTAGATCACACTTATTTACACAATTTCATAGATATCCGTTTTTTAAATTATTTTTCTATATTCTTGCAAACATTTTTCAATTGCTGACGATTCAACATTTGCTAATGTCTTTTTTATTTTGCACTACCTCAGAGACATTGCAACCATGTCATTTTTGTAAATGAGAACATTTGTTCAAACATTTTATCTGGTAAATTCAAGATAGGGGTAAAAAGTCATTTTCTAGCATTGAACAATCTAGGGGGACAGAATAGCATTGATATAAAATGATCTGTGATATATATATATATATATATATATATATATATATATATATATATATATATATATATATATAGTATCAGACATGTCCAAATACTAAATACACTCAACAAAAATTTAAACGCAACACCTTTGTTTCTGCTCCGATTTTTCATGAGATGGACTTAAAGTTCTAAAATTCATTCCAGATACACAATATTACCATTCCTCTCAAACATTGCTCACAAATCAGTCTAAATGTGTGATAGTGAGCACTTCTACTTTGCTGAGATAATCCCACCTCACAGGTGTGCCACATCAAGATGCTGATCTGACATCGTGAGTAGTGCACAGGTGTACCTTATACTGCCCACAATAAAAGGCCACCCTGGAATGTGCAGTTTTTTTTACTTTATTGGGATCTGGGGACTCAGAACCGGTCAGTATCTGGTGTGACCACCATTTGCCTCATGCAATGCAACACATCTTCTTTGCGTAGAGTATATCAGATTGTCAATTGTGGCCTGTGGAATGTTGGTCCACTTCTCTTCAATGGCTGTGTGAAGTTGTTGGATATTAGTGGGAACTGGTACACGCTGTCATACACGCGGGTCAAGCACATCCCAAACATGCTCAACGGGTGACATGTCCGGTGAGTACGCTGGCCATGCAAGAACTGGGACATTTTCAGCTTCCAAGAATTGTGTACAGATCCTTGCAACATGGGGCCATGCATTATCTTACTGAAACATGAGGTGATGTTCATGGATGTACGGCACAATAATGGGCCTCAGGATCTCATCACGGTATCTCTGTGCATTCAAAATGCCATCAATAAAATGCACCTGTGTTCTTCGTCCATAACAGATGCCTGCCCATACCATAACCCCATCACCACCATGGGCCACTTGATCCACAACATTGACATCAGCAAAGCGCTCACCCACACAACGCCACACATGCTGTCTGCCATCTGCCCTGAACGATGTAAACCGAGTCATCCGTGAAGAGAACACCTCTCCAACGTGCCAGACGCCATCGAATGTGAGCATTTGCCCACTCAAGTCTGTTACGGAGACGAGCTGGAGTCAGGTCAAGACCCCAATGAGGACGACGAGCGTGCAATTGAGCTTCCCTGAGTCGGTTTCTGACAGTTTGTGTAGAAATTGTTTGGTAATGCAAACCAATTGTTTCAGCAGCTGTCTGAGTGGCTGGTCTCAGACGATCCCTAATCGTCGACTTGACGATCTTGGTTAACCTGCTGGATGTGGAGGTCCTGGGCTGGTGTGGTTACACGTTGTCAGCGGTTGTGAGGCTGGTTGGATGTACTGCCATATTCTCTGAAATGCCTTTGGAGACGGCTTATGGTGGAGAAATGAACATTCAATGCACGAGCAACAGATCTGGTCGACATTCCTGCTGTCAGCATGCCAATTGCATGCTCACTGTGGCATTTTGCTGAGACAAACCTGCACATTCCAGGGTGACCTTTTATTGTGGGCTGTATATTGGTACACCTGTGCACTACTCATGATGTCGGCTCAGCATCTTGATGTGGCACACCTGTGAGGTGGAATGGATTACCTCAACAAAGCAGAAGTGCTCACTATCACACATTTAGACTGATTTGTGAACAATGTTTGAGAGAAATGGTAAGATTGTGTATCTGGAATGAATTTTAGATGTTTAGTCCATCTCATGAAAAATCGGAGCAGAAACAAAGGTGTTGCATTTATATTTTTGTTGAGTGTAAAAACCCACAACTTGGTGCACAAGTTTAATTTTATTTGGGGTTTTCTGAAATCAATGCAAGGACAAAATACACACAAACACAACAGGAGAGTGGGGCACATATGCAATATTTGTTCTCACCATTGTCAAGATCTGTTACCTTCTTTACATAATAGTGATCATAACTGCAGCTGTAGTGACACATTTGAGTGTGTTGGAAAAATGTCACCCCCTAGTGGCAGAAAACTGATGCAGATGTGACATTTTGAAATTTCAATTTAAAAATATACTCCAAATGAACACCAAGTTTACAGCTGAGCACATGAATGAAGTAAAGACAAAGATAAAACAGTGAGATTAGTTGAGATCAGAGGTGTGTTTGGAGCAGTAAATGAAAGGCGTTTCACTCCAGTCATGGTTGCATCATCCTGTGGAGCTGCTTAGCTGCCAGGTGAATTGCATAAAATAATAAACAATGAAAGAGGACAACAACCTTCAAACATAATCCAAATTCAGCTAGACATCTGCAACCCAGACCTGAAACATTAAACATCAAAGCTGTTGTGAAATGTAGAATAAATTATTTAGAAAATGGTTCAAAATTCTCAAATTTAGGCTTAGCTAGATAGAAAATAAGTTGTTTAAAATGATCTCCTTTTGCAGAAAAGAAAATCCACAAATGTAACCAAAAAATTCAACTCTACCAACAAGAAAACTATCAAGTGTTGTTTATTCCTATGGAGAGCCTCAGTTTAGCTGAAAATTGAGGTTTGCTGCACAAACTCTTTCTAAAATCTGGATTTGAGTTATTGCAGGAAAATAAATCCCTGAATAAATTCAAACAAATGCACCAAATTCTAGAGCAATCATTCAGCTCCCCAAAAACAACAACTCAAGACATAATTCACCAATGAGGTAAAAACTGCATTGACAAAAATACAACTATCAGAAATAACCAGAAAAATCTAAATTATTTTTGAGTAAAATCCAATTTTATTTTTTTTGTCTGCAGCATCGAATTGAACCAAAGCGTACTGCTCACGTATGTTTAATACAGGCAACACTGACAACGCCTTTCCGAACACCTGCAGTAAAAGAACATTTAAGTCTTAAATTATTTAGCTGCAAAGGTTTCGTTTTACATTTTTAAAAAGTTAACAGGGTTTTATGATTTAAGTTGTACCTAAACAAATAAGTACACATAAATACTAAAAGAAAATAACTCATGTTTTAGATGAACAGACCCCAGGTGACGGGTTTCACATGAATTCATGTCAGTATTTTGTTTTTACGTCAGGCAGAACTGGGTGGAAACATCAGGGAGTCGTGAAGAACGGATAAAGAACATCAGACAGAAAATGGACACACACACAGTGCATATAAACACTCAAATGTTTGCAAACTAAATTCCCCCACACCAAAAAAAAAAAAAAAAAATTAAATAAAAATCTGGGAAAAAAAGCATGCATAAATCTTCCTACAGTGAATGCATAAGGGAAAGAACTTCAGCTACAATTAAACGGAAAACCCCAAAATGTATCAGGATATCTAAAATGAGCATGTCTGTAATACTGGGGGCCTTATTGCTACAGCAAACGCTCTAATAACAGCAGGGAGTGGCTCTTTTATAAACCCATGGTAAGAACGGTGGCTTCGCCATAGCATTTGAACACTTGGTTAATGCAGGATGGAGCGGCCAAGCATTTTATTAGGAGGCACTTTCGAAACAAATAATTAACTTTGCATGCACAATTACTTAAGTTCTGTTCTTTTTTTTAAATCATGATTCCTCTGAGCAGAATGGTAAGACTTCAAACTGAAAAAAACAAAATCATTCACATGTGAAGCTGAACTCTGGGAGGGTCTGGTGGGAGTCCGCCTCGATACAGTTAAACTCTTCACAGGTGACGTTCCTCCAACAGCACCGCTTTGTCGTCTTTAAGACCTCCTGTGGAAAAAACCTAACCATAACCAACGCATGCCGTGGAAAAAAGAAAAAAGACAAAAATAACTATCCGAACCAGCGCTATATATTTGGTCTAAATGTCTCGATGAATGAAGAGAGCGTATATATTATCCGGTTTAGTCTGTGCTATTTACATGTCTTTACAATAGCCTCCTGAATGTTGAAGCAGTTCAGAAAAAAGGTTTGAACATCTTCTGGGGTTTTGTCTGTGTGAGTTGGCACTTGCTTGGAGATTTTCTGTCAGCCTCGGTAGTCGCTGTAATGTTAGATTGCGTCCTACAGCGGCCAGTCGGCTCCCGCCAGAAGGAAGGAGGACGAGCCTGGCAGCGGGGTGGAAGAGTGCAGGAAACAGTGCCGTTTTCATTTTCTAATCGGAGACCTGTAGGGTCAAATGCCACAGAGAGAGAGAGAGGGGGGGGAGAGAGAGAGAGCTGAGAGTCTTCATCATTAAAACGATCAAATAAAGACCATCTTTAGAGTGAGTTAAAATATATTGTTGTTATGCTTGCTGCCATTTTACTTTAAAGGGACTATAAGGAAGTTTGACAGCCAAAACATGTATAGAAATAATAAATGTCTTCTTCATACATTCTCCTGCAATGCCCTGGTCCTGTACAATGAGCCCATAGCTTTAGCAGCAGAGCGAGGTAATGCCAACTCAGTGACTTTGTCGCTGTTCCTAACGCCTAGTGATGAACCTAGCTACATTTCTGAGGACCCTTAGCTACTTTCTTCTATATGTTTCCTGCAAATTAGCAACAAAATAGCCATTTTCACTCTGAACAGTTCTTTGGATTGACGTTGTTTCAGCTGTCATCAAGGATATAAACGTTATAGATAGATTGAACATCACCGGTGCTTTAGCTCACCTTGTAAGATGTCTGACTCTCATGCAGAAGACCTGGGTTAAACTCCAGTTGTGAACATAATTTGTTATTTAGAGTTTCTTTTTTACATTAATGGTATATTTTTTTACAGTAAGATGCCCAAATATTTATTTGAGACTCGCCGAACGACATTGAATTCACAGATAAAAAAAAAAGATGTGGGTTCAACTTTCATTTTGGAACAATTTTTCAAGCAAGGGAAGGGAATGATCTGAGCATGCAGGAGGACTGACCCATCTTAAACCTTTGTCGGCTGTGCTGAAGAGAAAGGTACAGAACCAAATTATTTAATTAATTAGCTGCGTGTTCTCCTGGCCTCTGGGCCACACACACTGCACGTTCGGCCGGCCGACGAGAAAGTGCAGCTGCAGAGACAGAGGCACATTATTTTATTAATTTGCTGTGTTCTTCTGTCCTCCGGAACACACACACACACACACACACACACACACACACACACACACACACACACACACACACACACACACACACACGACACTCTCAGAGCTCTGTGCTCTGTCTCAGCTGTTATTTTCGTTAAGGAGTGTGCACGTACAGCATGCGCGCCTCGTGCACGAGCCTACTATTGAAGCTGCCGTTACGCTTTTGGCCTGAGGGGGCAATCGCGAGCATAAAAATTCAAAACTCTGTAAAGTCCCTTTAAGATCCGTTTTGTACGTTTAAAAATACAAATGACACTTTCTATAATCTTTATATTGCCATAAACTAAAAATGTCACCATTATTCCTGCAGAATCCATCTGGATCTCTACAGTAGCAGATAATTCTGCTGCAAATAACCAAAAAGGGCAGGTATAAACAGCTGTTACAGTATGTAAATGTGTGGTTGTGTAAAAGTTTAAAAAATAATCTTTACTGCTAAACGTTTGAGATTGGAGCCGTTTGAAGACGGTAGAAACAAATTTAAATAGCCGTTAGCTCATCTGTCCGGTCAGAATCCGAATCAGAAGTTTTATGTAACACCTTTAAAAGATGGAAACACAAGCACAAGAAAACAGTGTTTTAGGTAATAATTAATTAAATTAAACAATGAAACAAACCAAGTGTCCAGTTAAAGAGTTCAGATAAAAATACTTGCCCTGAAAACTTAAATGAAGCTAGATCCTTGATTAAATATCACTCGAACGCCGTTTCTTGGCTTTTTCGTACACAACGAGCAACTTTCCTTTTGAACGCACCGTGTCTGTCTTCCCTCCACTCTTTCTGCAGAGAAGAAAGCAAACAAAGATTAGATGCCATCTAAAGTATTACCCATCTTTATTCTAACATGAAATAAATCTGAATTTTTGTAACATTTTAGCAAAAATGTTTAAAATTCGAGGTCCAGAGAGACCAAACGCCTCGTGACTTTTATCTTGAGAGGCGCTATAGAAATTACATTTTCTTCTTCTTCAAACCGCTGAATACAAGAACCCAAACAATCTTTCCTTCAACCATCGACATACACTGATCACCAGGGAAACTCTTGGTATTTTGTGGTTTGAAAATAAAAAAAACAACAACAATTACAATGCAAATGTAAATAAAAATGCACATTAACAGACTTACTGCAGCGTCCACGTTGGCTGGTGAGTCACCGTTTGGGTCTGCCAGCATAGAGATAACACTAATCATGATGGTTTCCACCGTGTGGATCGGCAGCCAGCGCTCTTCCGGTTTCTCGTAGCCGTACTTGTCCTCGCCGGGTTCGTGCAAAATAGAAATGCAAACGTCTCCATTCTTGTCAACTGAAAAGATGCACATGTGTGTTATTAGTGTAAAGAAGTGGTGATCGGTGCTGACCAACTACAACAAGGCCACCTGTGATGGTTATTTCCTTTTGTTCTCCATCACCAGCAGGTCACGGGTCCTACAGGTCAGCTTTGACCTCATCCTTTTATCCTTTCTTGATGTTGTATCTGATTTACACGACTACTAGGGCTGGGGGTAAACGATTATTTTTAAAACGATTATTCTGACGATTATTTTATCGAATAGTCGACTATTCTAATGACTATTTAGAAAATTAATCTAATGATTATTTTTCTATTGCACAATTAACAAAAACCAGAAAATCTCAAATAAATTCCTCAAAAAAAAATTGATAAATTCTTACTGTAAGAGAATAAACACTACAGGCCTTCCATTTTGTATAACACTGCGTTTATTGTGTTGCGGTTGGTTATGTTCTGGTGACGTGTAGAACTTGGGAGTGCTGGCTGCTGCCTGAGAGGTGGTAGAAGATGGAGTGTCTCCATGCTGCTTTGTTTTGGTCACTTATGTGCGTGAGGCGAGTGGTCTTACGGGTTAAACCAAACTCAAGGTGATATTTTACACTAAACCGAAAACCCACAACACTCTAAATGTAATAAAAGGGAGATCTACACCACAAAAAAGATGAACTCTAAACCAAAACGTAACAGCTTATCCCAACGCAAGAAGCTGTTAGCGAAGATGCTAACAGTAGCTTTACCAACATTAAGTTCAAGTTACCAAGTTTAAATAAACCAAAAACACCCAGCAGCAAACAGACCAGCACGGAGGAGAGACTGCTACCACCAAAACAGCTCTCCTCATGTCTGAAAGAAGCTCCTTAATGAAGGGAGAAGCGCTCCCGGTGATTTTTTACATCTGCGATAGACACGAAGCAGCGCATCTGACCCCGGAAGTTGTTGTCCGTTGCCGGGAGACGAAGGGGCAAAACAGGAAAATAATCTAGTAGTGGACGGACGTTGTTCCGGGTCTTTGGCGGAGATGTTAGTGAAGGCGGAGAAGAGGGCGAACTACAGGAAAAACAGGCAGATTCCTCCTCTATTTACAAACTCCTGGGGATGCAACAAGTGGGCGCGGTGCGTCGACTTCCGGATCTGACGTCGACAAATTTTTAGAATCGAGCCGTCGACTTCGTCGAGGCTTCGCTACAGCCCTAACGACTACACATTGTTTCCATCATTACACGGCACCTTTACAACGCTCCTCAACGGGAACCTGTCTCTATGTGCATGCGCGCAAGAAACACAGCTGACACACACTCCCACCAGCGCACAAGGAGCACGTTTGACATTATTCTGCAACGACCAACTAAAAAAGCAAAAAATCTGCATTTTTCAAAACATTCCCAGGTTTGTGATGATGGAAACTGGCTTAGTGTTTGTAGACCTGAGTACTTCTTAGATGTAAACCCCGAGGAAACACTGAAATGTGTCTTCTGACTTCATCATGGATTCATTAACAGAAGCTTTTATTTACAATTGGAAACGGACTTCTGCAGACCACGATTTGCAACAGCTTTCTGCAGAAACAACTCAGGGAGCTCTTTGCAGAAAAACCCTACCTGGGGCTTCTCATCTCTTTCAATTCAAAATGCCTGCTGTAGGAAAAACCAGTGAACAGATGAACATATTTAAAAACTGCAAGTGCAGCTGCTTTCTCTGCTGCATCTGCAGCGAGTGCTTGTTATGGTTTAAGAAGAATCTGAAAGCCCATCACAAACACACTCACTAGACTTCTGGAATTTCAAGTTAGCCTGTTCTCAACATGCATGCTAAAACACGAGTGTTCAGGTTAACTCGAGACTTTATAACAGGGGTGTCCACACTTGTCAAGACGAAGATCAAAACAGTTGAGTTAAAAGTTCTCACACGCCGCAAAATAGGTCTTTTTGTTTTATTTAAAAATGCAAACGTCATGCATACTCCTCAAACCAGGTCCCAGACAGACATATTAGTAAAAATCTGAACATAAAAAATATACATCAACAGTCTTCTGCTGAAATGCAATTTGGATATGGCGGCTCTAAAACGCCCCGAGGTGTGATTGAGTGGATGACTGGTTGCATGTCTCGTTTGTCTCTATGTGGCCTTGTGATGGACTGGCGATCTGTCCAGGGTAGGGTTGGGCGATTTGTATCATTTTTCCCACCGCCAATCATCAGTCACAAAAAAAGACGATCATTGATTTTTTTTCATACAAGCGCAGCACATATGTTAGCTGGAAGACAAATTTAGATTTTTCTTTTAGTTTAATTTTGCATTTGTAGTTTTGGTAGATAAACGTATAAACATGGTTAAAGTGGTAAAAAGATGCCTCGTCTTTGTTTCCCTGTGGCATTTTATTTAAGTAAAATGGGTTTTTTTTCTGAACAAAGGCTACTGGGTTTCTTTCTTTTATGAGTAGTAAATGGAATGAATCGCTGCTGCGTTTGGACGCTCTCCAAGGTGGCAGCATTTGCTCGCTGCCAGAGGCCGCGCGATCCATTTATCTACGTCCTTTTCATTTAAAAAAATTTAATAGTCATTTGTTAAGTTTCCATTCATTTTAATTAATATTTAGCCCAAACAAGCTGATCAGAGTGCTCCAGTAACATAAACAATGTAATTAAAGAATTTCACTTAGAGTAGGAACATTTCACCTGCTGTGGCCTGAACGCACTTTCCTGCTGCTCCACGTAGCCCTGAACTGGTCACCTGCAGCTTGTGCTGAATCAGGTGTCTCCAGGAAGCTAGCTGAAGAGATTATGAGGTTCTGGGCTTTTGCCTCAGGCAGACTCGTGGCTGTTTAAATGCTGCTCTGGATGAATACATGCTCCGCTGACGCACTCGAAGCAGGAGCTGAATGCCGAGCACGATTTAAGTCAAAGTTTTAAATCAGGAAACGTTTCTCCATATGAAATAACCAGAAGTCTTCCAGACTCTCTGAAAGGTTGAAGGGTTTCCACTTTCCAACCAACACTGCGCTGCTGTGCACAATGTCGATTGTGTCAGACGCTCTCCGAGCTCCTCCTCAGCGTGCTGCTTGCACGCACACGGTCAGCAACGAGAGGAGGAGGAGGTGAGAAAAGGCTCAGACGCGCTGATGGAAATCTTTTCTTGATTGTTACCTCCACGATGTTCTCTATGCGTAACGTGTAAAATATTTGTCAATAACAAACTAACTCACTGGCAAACTAATAAATAAATAAACAAATCGCCTCCTGCAAAAAAACCAACCCTAACAGCTTGGCCCATCGCCCAACCCTAGTCCAAGGTGTCCCCCGCCTGGGCAGAGTAAAGCCCAGCTCCCCGTGACCCTACGGACACCCTGAAACCATTTTAACAGTAGAAAACACAAACACTTACAGATTCATGCACCTTCACTTACCATTAGGATGCCAAATATCTGTGATAAATTTCATTTTAGGTGGCCTGAGGGGGTAATCTTTGGGAAATGTCAGATGAGCTTTAAACACACCACCTTCACTGTGAAAACAAGCAAAAAATGTTTGAATAAAGTTTATTACACAAACATCACCTGCACCGGTTTCAAAACATGCAAATAAATAAATAAATGCTGCATGAGGGTTGTTCACATCTCTCCCAGCATACTCAGTCGATGACCCAGTCAGACTTACTATAGTGTGTCTGGAGGACCGATGATAAGGACTTCCCATCTGTAGAGATCACTGTCCTCAATGAGGCCTGCTGAGAATCCCTCTACTGGGTTTTTGTTCAGCTCTAAATAATGAAAATAAAATCATCAGTGACTCATATCATCTAATAAGATTACAAAGCTGCTGCTGTACTTTTCCTAGAACCGCAGGCCCGTGGATAGCTGAACAGTAAAGATGACTAGAACACGTTCCTTTTTCATTTCTGAGATAGTTTTGAAGTGACTTTGAAACATCTTGTCACTTCTAAACAAATGTAAATAGATGACTTCATAGCATGGACAGATTGCAGTCATAATTAGGTGACACAGTGTCTAAAGTGGCTGTACAATTTCTCAGCTTCATACTCAAACTTCGGCAGCATTTGTACAGTATAAAATGGATAAGAAGAAAACAAGTAGAACAGTCTTAAATGTTGGCAACAACCAGCAAAAAACACACAAACAATCATTTCAGATTCAACAGTTGGTCAAATTCACAGTGTTCAAAAACTCATTTAGGCTCAGATTTTATGAAACAATTGTTATTGGTGCCATTTTAGCTTGGAAATAAAGCAGAAAACACAATGACCTCTACATATCGATGTCAGCATTAGAAAAACCCACATTAGTCGATCTTCACTCAAAACTCAGTCACAGCGGTGTTGCTGAGGGCAAATCTGATTATTGTTTTGAAACTTGAAGCAAAAAAGGGGGGACCCATTTTAGTGCATAAATTAAAACAGAACAGACACTAAACGTCTGAACAGAAGGAGCCACTGTTCAGTTTTAAAGCTTCTGAAGAGCATCTATTTATGAAAAATGCTGTTTGAAACTTTATCCTTTAGCTTTCTGAAATCAGAACCTATTTCTAACATTAATGCAAAACAAATTCTAAACTATGGCGACTAAGATATCTGGAAATTCTTGTAAAAAAGGACACCCTGTCCCTGCTAGTTTGCCAGCCTGATAATTTACCAATCTATGTAGCCTTAAGCTTAGTTGAAGTAAACACTGCAGCTGCCAACTACACCTAAAGTTATAATGAGGGTCTAACTTTGCTCCTTTCGAAAGGTAGCTATTATTAGAGTAGCTATATTTAATTCGCAGCTGACCCTGCTAAAACGCCGAATTGAGGTAATGCGAGATTAACATGAGCTTGTTAGCTTAGCATCTCGAAGCTAACAAGAGTTACAGCGGCTAATGCTACACGACAGTTATCGTAAAGTGGTTTGGGAGGAAATGTTGGTCATTTTAAGATAAACTGCTTCCTTCCTTGTATGGATACACCAAGTAACAGCATGTTAGGAAGGTGTCTGGTAAACGTCATGTTTGAAAAGGCAAAACGCCATCTGCTATTTCAGTTGAAACACATGTAAACACATCCGAGTCGAACAAGCTAAGGCTAACATTGCGCTCACTTTGGGACTTGTGACAGCGGTTTGCCACCAATCTCGTATCCTAAACACACAACTTGTGCTTATTTACTCCACTTGGACGCAGCTTGACGATGATCACCGCGGTATTCACCATGCGGATTACATGTCACAACACAACAACGGAATATGGGGAAATACAGAGTTTGCGCCAACCCGATCGTTTCAATCACAGCTAGTAGGTTGTGTCGAGCAGATACCCAGCATCGGTTTGAGTTTTAATTACCTGCAAGCTGTCTCCTGAGTAACAGCGCTGACTGGGGCTCTGTCATAGTTTAGCTAATACAACGCAGCTGTTTTCGAGGGTGATTTTTGGAGGTAAATCTGTTGATTTATGAGTTTACTGAACAGAATGCGTTCCTGCTATTTTCCGTTTAGCATTCTCCTCACTCTTCTTCGTCGCATTCCCTTGCCACCACTTCTGTTTCTTCTTCGTTGAATTAATGCAGCAGGCGGCTCCGCGTTCTGTGTATTACTGCCATCTTCCGAGGGGGGCTTATTATTAGTCTCACTCATGCTGATTAAAACCTGTAAGTACAAGTTTCACAACAGTTTCACGTGTTGGGTGATTGTTGCACTTCTGGGAAGAAAAACAATGTAAATTTTTAATTAATTAATTAATTAATTAATTACATTTAATAAAAAAAATACATATAATGATCAGCATACAGAAAAAAGAAATATATTCGTATCAGATAAAGATTACTCAAGTAAATTCAAAATCTACTTTTCAAATTATTATTATTTCATCTATAATTAAGAGACAGAACGTTTGTTAGATGAGCATTAGTGATAGTCAACGTCATGCACAACATTTTAAAGACCAGGCTTTAAACAAGCTATCCCAAACCTTCTTAAAGTTAATTAATTAATTAATTAAAAATTTACTTCAATATTTATTTACCTTATTATTATTATTATTATTATTATTATTATTATTGTTGTTATTTATTAATTTTTTTCTATTAATTTTATTTTATTTATAAAACCCCTTCCCACCCCCAGTCAAGGGGCCCAAGGTGCTGAACATAGTGCAAAGAAGCAGCACAATAAAACAGCTCTATAATAAAATACAGAGATAAAAACATGAAAAATTAGCTAAAAACAACATAAGAATTGTGATCAAAAACATTTAAATGCAAATAGAAACAACTAAGAAACAGATCTAAAATACAGCTTAAGCCTTGCTTTAAAGTGGGCAGCGATGTGGACTGTTTGATTTCTTGTGGGAATGATGATAATAATAATAATAATAATAATATTAATCATTATTATTATTATTATTATTATTATTATTATAGCTATTACTAGATACATAGCAAAAGGTAAAATGAGTGTAGGCGCTTCATAAAACCTATTAAAAACAAAACCAAACAAAAAGGGTAAAATGACTAAGAATCACTAAATCACAAAAGAATGATTCCACAGAGAAAAGCAGAGCCACAGGTTCTTACAAAGTGACAACTAATCTAGGCTGGATGCTAGGTGGGTCTACAGTTTAGCTTTGAAAACGCAACAGAGAAGGCCTGTCTAACATCCAAATTGTGTCTATTAATTTGACATTCAGTGGTAATCTTGCTTAAAAGTATACTATAAAACTTGGCACATGTTAAAGCATTTTTCTGAGCCAGTGTGGGCTAACTTGACCCTTTACAGGGTTAATGAAAATGTCAGTCAGACCCCTACCGCCCACTGTGGCCAGAACTCTGCATTTGCAACTTCAGAGTGCTGGGCCGGCACCTGTTACACAATAAATTGAGCTTGCATACTTGGGACAGCAGTCTGCTTCCAGCATGTTTTCTGAATGTTTTAGATCATGAACACAGCTGATTTGTTTGATTAAGTGATGAATCACTCCTGTAGACACAAACGAACGCCGAGGAAACATTTCAGCAGTTATGGGCCATTCCCATCTGTACCGGGTTGGCCCAGGCCGGGTAGCCCCAGTTGGCCCCAGGCTGGCCCGGTTGTTTCCACACATCCTTGCTTAGGTATGCAAGGAATGTAGTCAGAGACACTTTCAGCTTCTGGGTAATCAGCATGATAATGAATGATAATGAATTGAGCATGCCTTAAGCCCATGTGGGCTGATTTTACCCACCAATCAGAGGCTTGCTCTAATGGAAGGTGTGAATTTGCTGTCAGCAGTGGGTGTGTTGGCCCTGGTCGGCCTGAAGCAGACCCCCTCGAGAAGAGGGCTGAGAATGAGCCTTGGTTGGCCCGGGAAAATTCCAGGCCACCCAGATATGTAAACAACCTACACTGCCCGGCCCGGGTTGACCCGGTACCGATGGGAATGGGGCTAAAGGTGTTAAAAAGACAAATGCACTGCGAGTAGATAAGTTGCAATTTTGCTTTGACCACAGATAATTATTAATGGACTCTAGGGGGTGCTAAAATCAAGCAAAACTGCCAAGTGTGTCTTTAACCCGTGTGCTCATCGGCTGAAGGTGAATAGGTGACAACCAGATGTTCTCTTACATAATTTTCTGATTGAGAGCAGAATTCATGTTTCCATCAATTAAAGCAGGTAGTCCAATCCCTGAAGCAGCAAAGCAGCCTCACACCATCACACTGCCCCCACCGTGTTTGACTGTTGTTTTTTTAAACACAGTGTTTGTTTTACACCAGGTGGAAAAGGACACACACCCTCCTCAGAACGCAATATTTTCTTAAAGTGTTTGGGATCAATCAGAGCCAAATGTTTGTTGTTGCAGCTGTTGCTCAGCTTTCAAAGAAATATAAGAAAATAGAACAGTCTTCCATCCTCCCTTGTTATAGATCTAACGAAGAGTGACTCAACACATTGACACACGCTGCTGATTACAGCTGAAACACATTCAGTTACAGCTTCACAGCTACAACCAACCATGAATCGAGCCAAATGTGGAAACCCTGTGACCAACGCGACAGCCCTGAGTGGGACGTCTCTTCACTAACTTAATAGAGTCAAGTCAAAAGTGAGGCTGTTAGTTTCCTGAAACTCTGAAGCGGGGGGAGGACTGCGCTGTTCTCCAGCAGCCACAAATCTGCCACTATGGAACAGATAATGTTTTAAAGGCCTTATCAGCAAATAGGTAAGTTTAAAAAAATCTTTTTGAACTATTTGATGCTTAAAATACGCAACACAAAGTGATTGCATCAGTAGCTGTGAATCTGGTAAAAAGACAGAGGACTTTGGGTTTTGGAGCTGCTGGGAGATGTTTAGAGAATAGATTTAATGGCCTTTCGACTTCCTGTTATCACCTGGCGGACTCTGTAACCTCTAAACTAATGGGGCTTTTCCATGAGGACCCCTAAAACCAAGATGCACCATGTCTTATAAACGTGTTCTTTGTGATCCAACGTTAAATCATTTAGTGAAAAACAAACGTTTAATCACCAAAAACTTACTCAATGTGCTGTTTGCAAACACTGTGAAATACATCTTCCTTCTCTTTTCTTATTTATTTTGTCACACGCCTTCACACTTGTGCAACTGATGTTTCAAAAGCGTCTCTGTGTGTTGGCTCATTTCACTAAAATGAGATTATTTGCAGGACTTCAGAAGGGAAACTTAAAAAAAAGACGAAGGACGTTCTCGCCATTTGCTGTCGAATGATAATAAAGCTGCATGTTAATAAAGTTGTGCGTTGCTGACTGATTCAGTTACAGCACATTTCTTCATCACTTTCCTACCTAAACCCCTTATTTCTTTCCATTACTGGGTAGGGTTAGGTCAATGTGTCAATCAGATTATTAGTCAGGAGATGATCGGATGAAAGCAGGAGTTAACTGGTATGGTGGATCCTGGCTTGTGTGCTGACATTGGATAAGAAACAATTGCTGCAAATTCACCCCAAGGTCAGAGGTCAATGTTTAGAGAAATGTTATGAAGCCATAGAGCTACACCTTGGACTACAGCCCACATCAGCAGATTACAGGTCATGAAAGGGTAATCCATCCATTTTCATCCACTTATCCGGAGTCAGGTCACGGGGGCAGTAGCCTAAGTCGAGAGGCCCAGACTTCCTCCCTAGTCACTTGGGCCAGCTCCTCCGGGGAAATTCCAAGGCTTTCCCTGACCAGGTCAGAGACGTAGTCCCTCCACCGTGTCCTGAGTCTACCTTCAGGTCTCCTCCCGGTTGGACGTGCCCAGAAAACCTCACCAGGGAGGCGTCCTGGAGGTATCCTGACCAGATGCCCGAGCCACTTCAACTGAATCCTCTCGATGTGGAGGAGCAGCGAATCTACTCCGAGCCCCTCCCGTATGACCGAGCTTCTCACCCTATCTCTAACAGAGAGCCCAGCCACTCTGCGGAGAAAACTCATTTCATTTTGTATCCTCGATCTCGTTCTTTCGGTCACTACCCAAAGCTCATGACCATAGGTGAGGGTAGGAACGTAGAGCAACCGATAAATCGAGAGCTTCGCCTTCTGACTCAGCTCTCTCTTCACCTCGACAGACCGGTACAACGCCTGCATCACTGCAGATGCAGCACCAATCCACCTATCGATCTCACGCTCCAGTTTTCCCTCACTCGTAAACAAGACCCCGAGATACTTAAACTCCTCTACTTGGGGCAGGACCTCATCCCTGACCCGAAGAAGGCATTCTACCATTTTCCGAATCAAGACCATGGTCTCAGATTTAGAGACCATTTAACACAGCAATTAACAAACAAAGGAGCAAACTCCTGGAGCAATGCCTAAAGTAGACGTTAATCCATAATACACAGCAAAATGTTTTTGAAGAACCAAGCACAGCGCAGATAAGACTAGCTATCAGCTGTCAGCATGGGGGCGAGAAGCTGATGATTTGGGCTCCTTGCAATCAGTCATTAACTCCTTAGTTGATTAAAAACTTCTGGAATCAAACGTGAGAGCATCGATTTGACAGCCGAACTGGAAACCCTGGGCCGTAACACAGCAACAAAGCTACAGAACAATGGAAGAAGACGAGGAGAAGGCGAAGGTCTGCAAAGCTCAATGAGCAGAAGTGGTTTTGCACACGCCACTCTTCTATTATCTGTTGTTTGTAAAAGCGTGAAGTTAGATCTGAATCATTAATATAATGACCACTTCCTTTTGTGATGTCCTGATATGATTAACCTCATGTTTGAAACTTATTTTTAGGTGAAGAAAGAGCTGCTCACCATGGAGAAAAACGGACCTACGAGCTCCACCCAGGACCCCTCCGTGCCTCCGTGCAGCCGGGGCTCCAGCTCGGGGCTCCGCTACGGTTCCCTTGTCAACAGCGTTTCATCGCTCGCTCCAAAAGCTGCAGAAGCATCGGCCGTGTCACCTAAGCAGGCTTATGTGGCCACAGCTGTGCTCTGCTACATCAACTTGCTGAATTATATGGAGCGATACACAATAGCAGGTTGGATGATGTTGTGGAGTCTTCTCACTTTTTATGGCCTCTAGTTTGGTGTGTGATTCTATGCTATTCTCTTTCATGCAGGTGTTCTTTCTGACATTCAGAAGTTCTTCAGTATAAGCGACAGCACAGCTGGACTCCTGCAAACAGGTATGAAGGTGCAAACTTTGCAGATGCCACAAATTGTGCAGAAGTAATCCTCAGGCTGAGCAGGTGAACTAAAATTAGTCTGTGTGTTTGTGTGACCTATTTTGATACTACTGATGTGACTGGCTGGGTTTCTTTTTTAGGTTGATGCTTTTGGTGTAAATGAGCTGCAAATTCATGCACATACAGTTTTCATCTGCAGCTTCCTGCTCCTGGCGCCCCTCTTTGGTTACCTGGGGGATCGCTACAATCGCAAATACATCATGATTGGTGGACTGAGTGTGTGGCTTCTGACTGCAGCCGGCAGCTCTTTTGTCACACAGTCGGTGAGGAACAAACGCGTTCAGATGTTATTCAAAGCTCAAGAAGCGGAAGACTAAGCGAGGTCAAATGGTGTCACTTCTTTCTTTTACTGGTCTGTTTCCCTGCCTCTGACATTCAGCTTCATTGGGCGTTCTTGCTCAAACTGGGAATGACAACATGTCAGTTTGTTCAACTTCCTTGTTGGCTGTTGAGGCTACCAGAATGCAAAGCTTCAGCTGCAATACAATGTTCTTGTTGTTGGCATCACCCATCATACATCATCAGGGATTGTGTGAGAATTTAGAGGCAAGAAGCTCATTTATAAATGTTAAAGTTCACAACTAAATATTTGCTTAGCAAGATAAATATTAATTTTAGAATTCAATATTTATTTTATGAACTAAATATTAATGTCAGACCTAAATGCTTAGTTTGTTAAATAAATATTTAATTTACTAACTACATTATTTTCGATCCATTCATCCATCCATTTTCATCCGCTTATCCGGAGTCGGGTCGTGGGGGCAGTAGCCTAAGTCGAGAGGCCCAGAGACTTCCCTCTCCCCAGCTAATTGGGTCAGCTCCTCTGGGGAAAACCCAAGGCATTCCCTGGCCAGGTGAGAGACGTAGTCCCTCCACCGTGTCCTGGGTCTACCTTTAGGTCTCCTCCCGGTTGGACGTGCTCGGAAAACCTCACCAGGGAGGCGTCCAGAAGGCATCCTGACCAAATGCCCGAGCCACCTCAACTGGCTCCTCTCGATGTGGATGAGCAGTGGGTCTACTCCGAGCCCCTCCCAAATGACCGAGCTTCACACCCTATCTCTAAGGGAGAGCCCAGCCGCGATCTCGTTCTTTCGGTCACTACCCAAAGCTCATGACCATAGGTGAGGGTAGGAACGTAGATCGATCGGTAAATCGAGAGCTTCGCCTTCTGACTCAGCTCTCTCTTCACCCCGACAGACCGGTACAACGCCTGCATCACTGCAGATGCAGCACCAATCCACCTATCGATCTCACGCTCCAGCTTTCCCTCACTCATGAACAAGACCCCGAGATACTTAAACTCCTCCACTTGGGGCAGGATCTCATCCCTGACCCGGAGAAGGCATTCTCCCATTTTCCGAATCAAGACCATGGTCTCAGATTTAGATTCTATTTATATTATTTTTTTCAAAGTAAATTTCTTTTTCAAAATAAATATTTTGTTCCCAGCTAAATAGTTATTTTGGAGGTAAACATTTAGTTTACAAAATCAGTGTTTAGGTTTAGCCCCAATATAAATATTTAGCTGTGATTTAAATATTTATTTTGTAAAATAAATATTTAATTAGGAGTTCAACAGTTTGTTTGCAAACTAAATATTTAACTCCAAATGAAATATTTAGTTGGTAAATTAAATACGTATTTTACAAACTAAATATTAATTTTGAACCTAAATACTTAGTTTGTGAAATAATTATTTAATTTAATAACTAAATATTTATTTTTCTAAGTAAATTAATTTTTTTCAAAATAAATATTTAGTTCCTAGCTAAATATTTATTTAGGAGATAAACAATTATTTTACTAAATCAGTATTTAGGTTTAGCCCCAATATAAACATTTAGCTAGGATTTAAAGAGCAAGTCACTCCCAAATAAACTTTTTTTTGCTGATAAACTAAATAAACGAGTGTCTAATTGTGCTGCAGACACGTGTAGTCAATAATTTGGCACTTCAGTGCATCTTAGTTAAAATTTAAATATTCTGCCTTAAACTGGCAGTGTTGTGCCGTTGTCAGGTAAAAACTCTGCACTGTATTTGAATTTAAATCTGTCATCGCTATTGGCTAAGAGGTATGCTATGATGTAAACTGGTACATTATGATGTCACAATGCTGTCGTGAGCCTGTGTGTGTGTGTGTGTATATTTGTTAGCAGCTCCGCCCTCTCGGTCTGCCAGGCAACAGCATTTGTTGCATTTTTCAAACATGAAGTGAGAGTGGAGTTAGACTCTGGTAGGAGGTGACTTGCTCTTTAAATATTTATTTTGTAAAATAAAATTTTAATTAGGAGTTAAACATTTTGTTTGTAAACTAAATTTTTAACTCCAAATGATATATTTTGTTGGTAAATTAAATATTTATTTTACAAACTAAATATTTAGCTTTTACCTAAATATTTTGTTTGTAAAATAAGCCTTTAACTCTGAATAAAATATTCATTTTACAAACTAAATATTTAAGTTTAACCTAAATATTTAGTTTGTAAAATAACTATTAAACTCTTAAATAGATATTTATTTTACAAACTAAATATTTAAGTCTGACCTAAATATTTAGATTATAAAATAATTATTTAACTCTAAATGAAATATTTAGCTTGATAATCAAATATTTAGTTTGGATCTTTAACATTTATAAATATATGAGTAACATGGTGAAAATAGGACTTGGGTTAAGTTGTGACTGTTTGATTTTACAAATAGCACCCCACAGATGTCCTGTAGAACAGTTGTATAAACTCTCCTTCTCTTCCTTTTTCTGACTGCTGAAGCTAAAGAATATTAAATTACATGTTAGAATCATCGACATATATATAGGTTAGAATTGTTGGGATTTCAAGTGGAAGACTGTGAGCTGAAATCCCTCTTTGCCTTTGACTTGATCCCTTTCAGCAATTCTGGCTCCTGGTTCTCCTGCGGGCGCTTGTCGGAGTAGGAGAAGCCAGCTACTCCACTGTTGCTCCCACCATAATCGGAGACCTCTTCAGCGGGGGTCAGCGGAGCATCATGATCTGCGTCTTTTACATCTTCATACCTGTTGGAAGGTTAGAAGAAACAAACTTTGTCTAAAACCTTGTGGGTTTGTTCCAGATGTGGAAATTTGGCTCCAAGCGGCTGCAGCTAAACAATAGGAGCTCTAATTTAGATCTCATTTTGCAGATTTATTTTTGTTACTGTACATGAGTCAGCGTATGGGCTCTGCTGATCCTGTTTCTGCTCTATGGTCGTTGTTTTCAGTGGTCTTGGATACATAACAGGAGCGGGGAGTGCTAGCCTCACAGGGGACTGGCACTGGGCTCTCAGGGTAAGATGTTTGCAGTTGGGTCTCTTCTTTACAACTGCAACAAAAATGCAAAACATGCACAATATTAGCACTGCTGGCATCATTCTGCACTGATTTGAAGGCTACTTTTGTCTGGTGATGTTTTTGAAGTGACATAACTTTGTGAAATGGTTGCAAAATGACATTTATTGCTTTGCAGGGGTAAGGTTGCAGGTTTAAATCCCAGCTGTGACCTTTCTGCATAGACTTTGCATGTTCTCCTTTCCATGCCTGCGTGGGCTTTCTCCAGGTTTCATCAAACAGTTCAAAAACATGCATGTTAGGTTAATTCGTAGACTTTAAATTGTCTCTATGAGTGAGTGGTGATGGGCTGGAGACCTGTCCAGGGTGTCCACCACCTCTCACATAACGAGTTAGACACCAGTTCCTCATGACCCAACCGAGGAAAGGTTGTTAAAAATAATGAAAGACTTGGTGACACATGCAGATATCTTATGTTTGGGCTCAGATGTTCCACTTGCATGTAAATGCAAAATAATCAGCCTTAAATCGTTTGGATCATGTTGTAAAAACTCAGCCTACTTTAGGTCTAAATAATAGCATCAGCATGTGCAATAGTTCACATGCTGATGTTGTGCGCTTTGCTTTTTGTAGGAGTTGTGGAGATGTGACACCACTGATGTGACTTTATAGATGAAGAGGAAAATGTGTGCGGAAGTACTTTAATCCGTTTTTGTTCTGGTGTTGTCAGATCACTCCCATCATGGGGGCTGTGGGACTCATCCTGCTGGTGTTCTTGTGTCCTAACCCACCCAGAGGCGCAGCAGAGACCCAGGGAGGTGGAGTGGCAGTACAGAGCACATACATGGAGGATGTCAAGTATCTTCTTAAAAAGTAAGATGTGAAAAAACATCTGGATTGTTCACCTAACCTGCAGAAATGTAAAAATTCCTGAAAATATAAACCATGTAAGATAATGTCGTCCACATCCCTGCCACCTTTCATGCCAGAGTCCTCAGATCTCAAAACTAACGACACTCCCGGCGTAGCAAGATTTCATTCACTTGCATCAAAACTTCCCTACAATTCCCCCTTTGGCTCACAAGTACTTTTCCTAACGATCACACATCTACAAACAGGTCAATTTACTCTCATTTGGCTTAAGGTGGCAGGTCAAATCTGGTTTGCAGGAGATTATTTTGCATGTGAACAAAAACCTTTCCAGTGGCGACCAGGAATTTCTCACGCACACAATAATCCTTTATCTCTCCTTTTCTCTCTCAGTCACATGCTTTCTGATGATGATATCCTGCTATTCCGGGTATGAACTCTTGGTTTTACTCACGTGTTTTCTGATCCCAGTAAAAGTTACGTTTGGTCGTCTCTCGGGGTGACGGCTCTGGCCTTCCTCACCGGAGCTCTGGCCTTCTGGTTGCCCACCTTCCTGTTCAGAGCTCACGTTACCCAGGGGCTCCGAGAGCCGTGCAACGGAGACGCCTGCAACACCACAGACAGGTGCTGCTGGCCTTCTGACCTGCACTTGTTTCACTCTTGAAACGTTTCAGCAAAGGAGAAACAACGATGTGTGTTTCTGAATCCACAGTTATATATTTGGTGCTGTGACAGTAGCAACAGGTGTCCTGGGAGGAGCTCTGGGCACCAGCTTGTCCAGACGCTTTGTAGATAAGTTCCCACATGCAGACCCGCTCATCTGTGCTGCGGGCATGCTGGGATCAGTCCCCTGCCTCTTCGTCATCATTTTTGTGGCATCTTCAAGCATTCCCGCTACTTACGTAAGATTAAATTCTGTTAGCTTCTCACTTCCTGAATTAGTAATCTTCAAAAAGATGCAACAGCTTCACTTGTTTAGAACTTTCTCCTTTTGTTTGCAATGTTTCATTCCAGGTTTTTATCTTCTTTGGCGAGTTGTTGCTCTCTCTGAACTGGGCCGTCCTGGCAGATATTCTGCTGGTGAGGCTGATCTGGGCTTTTTAAAAGGAATAAAATAAAACAATTTGCTGAATGTTGGTGCCGACCGGTTGTTTTGTGCACGCTTTTCCCTCTTCAGTACGTTGTTGTACCGACAAGGCGAGCGACGGCCGAAGCTCTGCAGATCACAGTCGGCCATCTCTTTGGAGACGCTGGGAGTCCGTACTTGTTGGGAGTGGTGAGAAATCACTCCACTATCTGTTTACTGCTTTATAAGCTTGTGGGATTTGGTAAACTGTGGCTTTTTGATGCTGTTTTCATGTGGGGTGCCATTTTTTTTGTCATTAATACGTTTAAAAGTGTTAAATTTACCAACAAAATATTCACTTGGCAAGCTAGATATTTCATTTGGTGTAAATTATTCATTTGACAAAATTAAGATTTAGTTTGGAAACTAAATATTTAGATCAGACATGTTTATTTATTTATTTGTTTTCTAAACAAAATATTCAATTTACCAACAAAATATTTAATCCAATTAAAGCATTTAGTTTGGCGCTAAATATTTAGTTAGTAAATTATTAGATTTCAGAAAATTTTTCTTTCCCAAACAAAATATTTATTTAGCAAACTAAATATTTCATTTACTAACTAAATTTTTTCTCCAAACTAAATATTTTTTTTCCTTAAATAAATATTTAGGAAATGTTTTGTTTGAAGCTACATATTTAGTTTGAAAACTATACATGTAGCTCCAGAATAAACATTCAGCTTTGCTAACCGTATACTTAGGAACTTTAACATTTATGATTGTATGGATGACATGGTAAAAATATGACTTTGAAAAATGAACACCCATTTTTCTTCTCTTGTGACAACCTAAATAAACTAAAGTGTTGCTGTTAAATTCTATTTGACTTTACAAATAGCACCGCATATTTTCACACCTGCCCTGGTAGATCTCTGATGCCATACGCTCATCCAATCCCGGAACCCACGACTGGAACTTCCAGAGTCTAAAGTACAGCCTGATCCTTTGCCCCTTCGTTGGGATCCTGGGTGGCATGTTTTTCCTGATTACCACCCGCTACATCACTGAAGACAGGAAAGCAGTCGAGCGGCTGGTTGAAGGTGAGACAACACGGCTATGTTTGAATGAAGGACCCAGAGGAGAATCTGACTCCTTGTCCTGTGTCAGGCTGGAGTGTGTTTCTCCTCCTAAACAAATGCTCCTTTATGGAGGTCACTTATGGACGTGGCTCTGCTCCTTCTGCATTTCAGCACTAATTCTCCTGAAATGCTGCAAACATGCTCCCAAACAGTTGAGTTTTCTGGCATCTCAGAGACTTAAATGTCCAAGTTGGTGATGAAAAGGATATTTTTCTTGTCTGAACTGACACATCTCTTTCCTTTTGGAAAACTGATCTCACATCAGTTTAGGAGATTTTTTTGGAAGCTTCGTGTTGCTTTGGTCCTGCTTAAACTCTCCTTTTTTACAGCTTAGCAGCTCTTTAGGAATAACCACGTTTATGCAAAATTACATTTTTGTTTCAGTGAAAAAAAGAAAGCTGTGATGTTTTTTTTAACAATGTGGTAATTACAACATGCTTAAATGCTTCTCTGCTAAAATGTCTACTGACGCAATGAATGCTCATCTCTTCAGTTATGTGCCTAGTTTTCTGTTTGTGCCTCAGGTTGGTTTTTGTCTGCTTGTATATTTCTGTTATTGTCAGAAGTGCTTCAAATATGTTTTTGTTTGTGTTTCCAAAAGATCTGCAGCCAGAGGCGTATCCAGTTCCTGATTCCTCTTTAGAACCGAGCAACAAAAGAACGGAATAAAGTCGGACATTTCTGGACGTGGAAATGTCAAATAAAACACGCTCAGCCTCTCGTGTGTGTTATTTTCTTTAAAAATCACAACCTTTTTGTCTTTTTTCCCCCTTGAACTATCAGCATAATGGTAATGAGCTCAACATTACCTTCCATCTTTCCAGCAAAACCTGAATAATACATGTAACATAATGTAAATAATGTGTTTTAGAATTTAATATATCTACAAATAAAGATTCCTTGATATTTGACAGAGTCTGGGTTTGGTTAGCAGCCACAGGTGCTGAAATAAACTGGAGCTTGGACCAGACAGGGTCAGAGAGAAGGACAAGGATCCCAAACACAAGAAAATCCCCCAAAAAGGAAGAGAAAGGGTTCAAATATTGTTAAGATGAAACCAGTGAAAAGATTATGAGAGCTTGCAAACCTTAATCCATTAGTTTAATCCTATTATTTTGCAACATTCAAACATGTATTAGTGTAGAGCAGAACAGTTTAGTTTTGTTTAAAACTTACTGTGTCACATTCTAAATGTGATAAAAGGAAAAATCTGTGGGCTAGCATTACACTTGTCATCAGAGCTGTATTTTTGTTTATTATGGTGTTGCTGACGTTTCTGTGGCCTATTGTGGTCCTCTACTTCTTCAGCTGCTTTGACCATCCCAGAGCAGCCGAGTCAGCATCCAGCTGCTCCTGGTGAACGCCTCAGGCTGCACCACACGTGCATCATCACTAATCTAAAGATGGACGACCTTCATTTCCTGTCACTCTGTTGAAACTTGCACCACTTAAAGACCCACTCCAATGAAAATTGCGTTGTTTTTTCTTTTAAATGGTAAATGGACTGTATTTGATACAGCGTCTTCTAGAGTGCTGGAACCCCCCAAGGGGCTTTGCACACATTCTCACCCTGTTTCTGTTTCTAACGTCTTTTTGAGGCATTTTCCTTAAACTACAGGACATATTTAAATAGATTCGAGCTCAAAATGGCACTTTTGAGTATTTCTGCATTCATATCGCTGTGAATCGGTAGCAGATGAAAAGATTCAAACTAAAACTGACTTTGTTTAATCACAAACTCCCCTCCGCTCTGCTCCCTCGGGCTCTGAGAAGTAGAGAAGATGGAGGAACAACACCTATGTGCTGTAACGGGATGTAATACTAGGAAGAGAGATGGTGAAATTAGCTTTCGCACTTTACCAAAATCCTTTTCTGTTAAACAAAACTGGATTTCGGTCTCGGGGACATTAAAAACACACATTGGTTGTGAGTGGACGTCCAGTAGGAAATGGCCTTAACACGTGCATTATATAGTCCTTCATGCCCCTCTATGAAATCAACTGTGATAAAGCTGCACTAAGTCCTTGAATGGTTAATAAAATAATTAATTGAAATTGCCAAGAAGTAGAGGTTTACTGACGTCCTTCGCACGTTTTGATCAAGGCTGTGAAAAACGTGGAATTCACTATTTATTTTGTAGTCTCTTACTAGAAGTTTCTCTGCACTTAGATGGTATGTTGTCCAGGCGCTGTGAGGAGCTGCTGGTTGTCTCAAAATGTATCGTCTGTTTTCCTCCACTAGATGGCGCTGCAGCAACACAGTAAAAATAATAGTTCTTGCAGGAAAAAGAGGTTTTAGTTCTTTTTGTGCAGCAAAAACCAGAAGATCCAAGCACCTGTTGTGAGGTTAAAGCTTTGATTTAAAAGCTTTTGGATACTCCCGAACTCTGGAAGGCTGTGACCTATGCAGAGTTCACTTTTGACGCTGCTGACATCCAGCTCCTTGGCTGCTCTTTTCCAACACTTGCACAAATCATGCAATAAGGGCTTATTTCCATACTTGAGTGTGACGGCTCCCCGTCAGTCCCAGGCTAAATGGCTCAGACAGCTGCTGTGGAGGAGCTGAAGGTCCTCTGCCAAATCCCAACAGCTGCAAGTCAGCACGCGTCCCCATTAGTCTGCACCAGAGAGGTCAAAGGTCAATGCTCTTTTTGCTCCCGGGTACAGGTTCAGTGAGTAATAGGGCACACTGTCACGATGTCAAAGACTTTGTGGACTTGTTGTGATGTTTCCTTTTGTTTCGGAGCTCTTTGTCATCTTCCAGAAGCTGCGAGTTGACTTGGAATGCAGCCGGTGGGAATGGAAACATGACGAGCGTTATTTTCTGAATAACAAGCCAGCACGCACATGCAAACTATGTGGGAAATGTTTTGGAAGTCGCAGTCAGACTGACCTGTGTTTTACCACAACAGGAATTGTGCAGCTCATTTCAGAGCTCTTTATCTTCATACCTTTGCATTTCCACCCCACCAATGGAGCCTGGCTTTACAGGAAACAGTCACAATGCCTAATAAATTGTGCATGCCAAAATAAACTGTGTGTGTGTGTGTGTCTGGAAGAAGGGATCTGCAGTATTTACTCAGAGAAACTCATCTGCAGGAGCAGCAGAGGAGCGGCCCTCAATCAGAATGCTGTCATTGTATCATTAATATCCAGGAATGGCTCACGATCATCACAAAGACAAGAGCCAGCTTATCTGTCCCGTGCTTGAGCTCCTCTCGACCACAGAGCAGCGATAAGAACAGTCTAACCACATTTGTGGATGTGATGTTGGACTTTTTTCCTTATCACAGCCAAACTGCTGCAGCGACATGACGTCATGCAGAAGAAGAGTCCTTCCCACCCTCTGTGCTGTTGCTCACGGGGAACCATTACATCACTGGGTGTTTCCTGTGGTTGGTGTGTGTGTGTTTGGTAGCTGATGTAACTAAATTTAACTAGGTGTGATTATTTAAAAGGTACTGATTAAAATAGGGGTTTTATTCAATAAAGAGAAAAATGATCTGGATTGGTTTCTGAGAGACTGAAAACGTTCTGAATTTTGATTTTAAAATTGATAATTTTGCCTGAAAATTTTACACAAAATTTCCAATTATGAATAAACAATTGCTGCTTTGTTAGAGGGGCTTGCATTTAATTATCTCAAACTTTAGAGCGTATTTGCAACTGTTACTGTTTTAAATACAACAACTGTTCCATTAGTTTTAAAATGTAGCTGTATGCATGTCTCTCAAAGAAAACATGGAAATATTTGTCTAAAATCACATTATGACATAAACATCAGTACTTGTTGATTATTGGGTCCACCTTCAGCAGTGGGGGCACAAGAGGGTCCAAGCTTGTTGTCAGGGCAACACTGGCCTACCCTAAGCCCCCTCTAGAACCGCCCCTGTGAATAAATGAATAAACTGTATTTCAAGTGTAGTGGTGGACGAAGTACTTGATTCTTTTACTTAAATAAAAGTACAGATAAAGGGGTAAAAAATTACTCAAGTAAAAGTGGAAGGATCCAAGAATTTTCATTAAAGGATTTTTAAATGTACCTAAAAGTAATAAAGTAAAAGTAACCTTTAAATCTGCATTGTGTGTGTAGAAGTGTACTGTTGGACTCAGGGGTTGGGGACAAAACACAAATTAAAGTACTATTACCTTTGGAGGTGCAAGAGAGTACGCTGCCCATCCCGATTGGACCAGGGAAGGAGTGGGATTCGGATAAAACGCAAATAAACTGCTTTTATTTTGAAACACTTTAGGAAATGTAATGGAGCAGAAAGCAAGTGAACTCGCTTTAAACTGCTGTGGAGTAAAAGAAGAAGGTAGGCCTCATGAGAATTACTTAAGTAAAGTACAGGTCCAGAATAATTGTACTTAAGTACGGTAACAATGTACATGTGTTTCATTATATTCCATAAGTGTTAAAGTGTAAAAAGAACTAAAATAATTAGAACAAACATCAAAGCTTTTGCCTGTTGCTC